AAGGTTGACAAAAAATATTGACCTTTCTTATGCTCGACGTCAGAATAATAATATTATATAATAACATAATATTACTATTATGTGAGAGGTTGATAGACGGCGCAACGTATCTGCAATATAGGCACATAACTGTGTAGAATATTTAAAAACATAAGATATTGATGATGTATGTATGGAACCAGTCGAGTTGCCGAGACTATAAAATATCGTTATTTCACTTTAAATGATAGACATGTTTAAAATAGAGCAAATGGTTACATGCTTGTTTGCTGGGAACCCTTTCGTGAAACTTTATTCACATAATATTAATATTATAAAGTTTTTTTTTTTGGTATTTATACATGATGTATAAAAAATAATCATTTTCCGCTTCATCTGATAGACAAAACATCTATCCATTTTATCCATTTTATGTGGCTAAGCCACACGATATTACCAAAGTTCAATAAATGACTTCATTCATAAAAGAACGATTTTGTGACATGAATGCTACATACATTAGTATTATACATATACATAATATACACACACACATATGTATATTGTATATATATATATTCTAATATCCTAACATTATACAAATAAAATAAATTATATATTTATATGTATGTAAATATTATGGCCACATACTATAGCTACAAGTTGAATTTTTTTAGTTCATTTATTTTGATATGAGTACCAATGCATAATTCACTTTACCATAACATTCTATTATTTATATTATTAAACCTCTATAAGTATTAAAATTGGTTAAAATGCAAGTATGATATCTAATATGCATTCAGAACAGTATAAACATAGTGATTTTTTTATGCGTTAGATTATAGTTATTTTAATTCAGGATTTTTATTTTACATTTTAAATTTTTACATAGACAATTAACAATGCACGTAGAATGATTTATACTTTATATGTATATTTAATGTTTAGATAAAAACAAAATGAAATGAAATTAGATTTCTTGTTAGTACACGCGAAAATTGGTTTGGATTTCTACATCATTTTCAAAAAGAATCATCTGCTTTACAATTTAAAGTTAAAATGGTTTTCCTTTTTTCGAAAAAAATAAATGCTTATTGTCATAAATGGTATAAAAATGTAGGCACTTCAAAAGTGGTTCACTTAAAAATTCCTAAAATTAGAATTTGGGTACATGAGTTATTAAAGAATCAAAAGGGAATGAGCATGCTTGAAAAATCACTCTATACATTATACGAATAATTATTATACTATCCCGCTCACAGTTCCACGTAGAGGATTTTTTATCGATTAACTTTGATTGTGAGAGACGACCTTTGTTTTTCGCTTTCGAAATCATATCAAATTATCTATAAGAATTTAAACCTAACTTTAAAATCACGTTTCCACACATGAATGCGTCCCAGTATATGTTAACAAACGTAATATACAATATAGCTTAGTTTAGTTTACTTAACTAAAATTGTTAAGAATTTGTTTATATTGTGTATTATATGTACTATATAGATACAAGAATAGTAGATATGTCATTTTCTGAAATTGTGTCTCATCGCTCCTTCAAACTTTAAACAACTTAAGTTAACTATTCACTTAATACAATTCAATCGATACAATTGAATATTATGTTTGTCACAACTCATAACATCTATAATATATAATAATTATCATATTTTGAAACATTGTTTTATTTAATTAAAATGCAGACTACAATATAAAAATACACTATTTATATAATATTTTACATGCCAGGTCAACTGTGTTTGATTAACAGTAAGATTAATTTAGAAACTTAAAATCATCAACAAATTAAAACTTAAGAAACGATAAAGATATAAAAGTCAAAATCGATTAAAAGAAATGGATATTTACATTGAAGAATTCGAATCTATTTTATTTGTATAAAAGTTTTTATTTTATAAAAAATAGCAATCCATTTTGAGTTTAAAAAGGGGGTGACAAGTTTTTCTATATCCTTCCATATGTAATAAAAATGAGGTAAGTCAACGTTAATGCGTTTACCGGGTAACTCAAAAAAAAAATATTATGTTTTCGCTGTGATGGGTGTATTTTTCTCATCGCGTAATCCTAGGATGTGGGTGGCGTGGAATAGGAGTAAGTGTCGACCAAGCACGGCGTGGAAATGAATTCTAGAAAATTGTGTTTTATTCTACCTCTGAAGCGTAAAAATCCAAATTTCCTTTCCATTAAGTTATTGTTTTGGAGGTGTCAACTTTTTTTTATTATATCTAAGAAATAATATTCTTAGCGAATGTCAATCCTTTCTCAGAAATATTCACCTAAGATGTGAATATTATTCACTGTTAAGTGTCAAAATAATAGTATATATTACCGTATAAGACTAATTGAAATGTGTAGACTTCTCGTATGTACTATTATTGTTTAAAACACAAATATTAAAATGAACAATAAAATGTTAACAAGGTTCATATAAATGGTTTTTTTAATTATTCAATTTTAAATTTTGTTTACTTTATCACATTTAGTTTTTAAATACTCGATGAATATAATTTAAGAAAATAATTATGCACGAAGACATTTGAGGCGGTTCAATATAATTATATGAAAACACGTTATACATCTACTATCTATTTAAAATTAATAAATTTCTAAAAAATTATAATTGGTATGTTTCCTTTAAAACTTATTAATTGAATACTGAAATTATATTTTTCCCATGTTTTTATATATTGTTGTTGCATACTTGTACACATATTGTGAATAAGATACATAATTGCGTTCTTTGAAATTATGCTTTTATGCTTTCTGAGTACTGCTGGACAATTTATTCATTTTAAATATAGTATTTGATTCATCAAATAAATATCATGTCAAAATGATTTGAAAACGTAATATTGTATACTTGTATGACTACAGTCGATTATGATTGCTACTTGAGTTAAAAAAAAAAAAAAACGATGACAGTAGATTCGTTTTTGAAATTGCAATAAAAGGGCTGTTTGCGTTTTATTCACGTTGAAAATATTTTTTTATCTTGTCAAATAATAACGGATATCATAAAAAATCTACATTATGTAAATCGGCAATAACACAATAAACGGTATTTTTACTAGACCTCAAACATGTGAGCATACACACGTCATCAAATATGCATTATGTCTGGGTATATGATGTAGGTAAATATATATACTATATATATCGACTGAGTGAAATATTATATTTCCAAGAAGTATAAGCTGTGGTATGGATTATCATGTCGAAATCCTGTCGCATTTTTAGAAGACTGTCATTAAAAAGCCACGAAATCTGTTTCGAGCTGGGTTGTCATGAAAATAATAACACACGTGGTTAATGCACATCGCTTGTCATCGCTATATACGTATATTGTACTAAATTGTTTCGTGCCTTATATTTTTTGACGTAAGTAGAATATAATTATTTGTAAAGAATTTGTTTGACAATTTTAGTGTTCGGAATTTGATATCCCACCGGGTGGTTTAACATTTTAAGTTATATTAACGCGTTGTTACTTGTTATTAAAATTACACTATGGTAGTGGAAAATATGAAATGTCATCAAATATTTAATGACAAAAATATCAACGTCATAATCTACAAATGGAAAAGTTGATTGCAAACTTCCGTTATATTAGGGGTAATCTTTTTTTTCAAAGTTTTTTTTTATCTTATATCGTTAGAAGAAAAAAATGTAATCATCGATTTTTTATTTTATTTTTATTTTTTTAAATAATTTTGTTGTTTAGCATTTTCACATTTGAAAATGTACGTGTTTTAATTAATAATAAATACGTTAAGTATAGATAGTCGAGTTAGGGATAAATAATGTTTAAGATAAAAATTCAAACATCTAAATTATTAAATTAATTTTTTCACGTGATTTTCGAGTACAGACTACAGATTGAATGTAGAAAAGATATCGTCAATCGATAATGTGGATACTATATGTACCTAATATTCAGTCGTCGTCGTCGTTGGGTTCCCACGCACTACTTGGGAACATAATGATCTGTCTAGAACTACATATTATAGATATCGCATAACTAAAATCATAGAAGTTTTCTTTTTTATTGATCGTACTTAACATCGGTGACAATGACCATTAATTACAATTTGTAATTTGAATTTTTTTTTATTTTTTATTTTTTGTTGTTTTATTAAAAATTAAAAAATTTGTGTAGTGGTGTCTACGTCGAGTCTGAGTGCTGCATCTAAGGTATTTGGAATGTTTTGAGGCTGTTGATTTCGTCGATGTGTTGAAGGCATTCAGTGATTATGTGGTGGAATGAAAGTTCAGTTTCACAATAGTTGCACTTTGGTTTTTCTACTCTTGCCCAAAATCATATTTTAATGATATAAAAATGCAGTTTGCAAAAACAGAAAAAAAATGTAAGGTGGGTGGTTTAGTGATTTTCTCTTTTTGTGACCACTAGCGATAATAATAAAAATATTGAAGTAATAATACATGTTACTCTAAATAATATAATTAGTATGCTTACAACAAACGACTTAGTGTTGCAACATTATAGTAACGGCTTGTAGCATAAACACATAGGTAACTTCTCGATTTCCGTAGAGATTAACTTAGAATATTTTATACCTACGTTTAGATAATATGACGAATTCGTCATTGACGATAGTTATAATATTATATTTCATAGTATATTTCATATATTATAACAATAATTTATATGTATATTTTCGAGTTATTCGAGCTTCATCTGGGGTGGGGCTGGAAAAGTGTCGAATTGGAAATTAGAATTCGGATGTAATAATATACACTTTGCCTATATTATTATGTGGGTGCATAGATGTGTACTCGGAGACGAAGTAATTAATTAAAATCGTTATTGTAAGCCCCGTGGGTTCCGCGTAGTGGTAGCCGTGAAAAAAAAAGTGAACTCGTGGTGTAGGCGTGTACCACGTATACGATATATATATATATATATATTACACGAGCTTCGAACGGTCAATTAACCGAAGGGTTATAATTACTTTCGAAACAGAAAAACATAACGCGGTCGAAATCGATCAATCGCCCGCCCATCGACTATCGACGCAATATATACCTAGTATATTATACCTATTATGTGTATAGTGTAGTAGTGTATCCATTTTTTTCGTCGCATGTGTATGTATTGTGTTTATTATAGTTTTCATTTATTCGACGTTAAGCCGTGACATCGAATTAACCTTTTGATTTCGCAGTGCGCTTCTAGATTACCGCACTATTTTTTCACTCGCCCTGCACTCTGACACTCTCTCGCTGTCTCTCTCTCTCTCTCTCTCTCTGTTTTTCTCACTTCTTCTCTCCACATTGCCTATTCCATACATTATACAGAGTGTTTCAATGTTTTTCGTTACATTTTAAGAATCGTAAGCGATGAGTGAAGCTAAAATTATATTTTGTATTATGAAAATATGGGGCTTTTAATGGCATTTACGCGGCAAAATATGACGACCCTCAACTATATCGTATCACCTTGATATAGTTACTCAACACAAAACGCAATACATATAGTAGTACAGTGGCGAATTTTCAACATTTTTCTTGGATTGGGGTCATAATTAACTAACATAATATATTGTCAGAAACTAGAGCGACTTGAATTCGAATTTTACACTTTTACATATCGTGCGTATTATACCCACTCGTTCGTTTACTTATTCTAAAATAAAAGACAGCATATAGCTTATGCATTTTATAAGAATATAAAAATAAAAAATAATTGTATATAATATATATATATATATCTTTCCTGGACCACCCCCTACTGTAAATCCTCCATTGATCCCATATATTTATAATATAAACACGTACGTACATATATATAGGTGGACTATCGTAACGACGTCCTAGTCGATGATCGTCTATATAATAGACAGCACATGCGCGTTATTTGTCGGCAAAACGTTGGCGTCAGTGTAATGACGTTTTTGAGTTTCGAATACGAAAAAAAAAAAGAAATGAATAGAGACGAAAAACAAAACCCTCTATATACTAACAGGTGCGGAGGTCCTTCGTCGTGGCTATTTTAGAGTCGGTTTGGTCGCCGTCGCCGTTCTCCCAGTGCCGTCGTGGGAGCGTCCAAACCGTGGTGGACGACCGTGGCCGCAGTGTACATCCGGCGTACCGAGGACAACAGTCAGACGGAAGCACGCGATAAACGGATGGACGTCGGACCGGCTGCCGCGGCGGCGGCGGCGACCACCCCGGAAACGATGACGACGTACCGGCGGAGGCCGGAAGCGTTCCCGAGCCGCGGTGAGCACCAGTGATGGCCAGCTCAGGTATGCACGCCGCACTGTACATACGAGAGAGGCAAAAGATCCGCGTGAAAAGGATCCGTAGGGATAGGTTCCAATTGCCCAGTCACGTGGCCACCAAGAACATCGCCCCGTTCCCGGAGTTCCCACCTACTACGTGGGTACGTATACGCATGACGTATTATTTTATGCAAGTGCGGCCGTACGGATTTAGGTCGATTGGTCTTCGAGAAAAAAAAGGCATATGTGGACAGTATTGCCCCTCCCTCCTTTCCACAATTTTGTATGCGCACAAATAGTTGGTCACCGTTTAATTGTTGCTACTATCACGTTCTCATGCAGTCACCAAGAATATATAAGACACGACTTAAATATATGAATATTTAAACAGACGTTGCTTGAGTTTCATGATGTATAAAATAATAGGGGGCCCGATAATATTTTTAAAAAAATAAAGAGTAGCTTCGCGGCCTCCTCCCACCAATTCAAGCGATGAGTAAAGTTTGTTATATTTTAACCTATCAAACCTATCAAAATGTATATCTTATTTTATCCTATATATTTTGTTCCTCAACTGATAGCTGCCGACATACTGCAGTGTTTGTTAGTGAGAACAACTATGAGGTGACGTCTTAATTTCGATTTTTTTAATTAATTCTAATGAGAAAAAATCTTTAATAATATGTACCACAAAGAAGAAAAAAATTGGCCATTGGAACAGCTTTTCGTGTATAAAATGATAATAGTGACCAATACTGTCCTTGTGTAATGTTTTATCGCAATAAGTGTCGATTTACTCAGCCATACACCGTGCTCAGTGACGTAACCTAGAGGGATCACTGGGTAGGGACGCACCTGTGCTTGGACGCTAAGGGTGGGAGTGGGCAATATACTTTTTTTGAGAACGTGGTTGCGTTGTCTGTGTCTTAAAAGTGAACAACATAGAAGAAACTGATATGCGCAGGACAATTTCATTCCCTCTGTCTTCATAGTAGAATTATCAAAATTAGTCAACGCATAGTAGGAAAGAACTTTATTACCTAGTGACGTAGAGTTTTAATTGTTTTGATAGCACTAATTAATAGTTTTTAATAATTACATTAAAAAAAATCTAATGTTTTCAAACTGATAACTTTAATTGTATTTATATTATTCAAATAATGAAAATCACTGAAATTACATCACAAATAAAGTTCTTACCTAAGCTTTGGAGAATTTTGGTACTTATACAGTAAATACAAAGAGAGCTAGTAAAGTTGTCCCGCCCAAAACTGTTTTTGATATGTTGTACACTAACATTTGTAAGACGGTGACAACACGCGCAGGTTCCACGTCTTTGTAATACTAAACACTATGTTTTTAATTTTTTTTAACAATCAAAAACAAACATTAAATTTGAATTTGATTTTATGAACCTGTTGTAGTGTTGTGTTGTCTACAATATTGATTATTTTATAGGCCATATGAGTGCGTGAGTAAACATAATAGTATATTATCAAGTATCAACACAATGTTCATGAGTACGGTAGATAGTCGGTAAGCGATGTGATAATTATGATGACTGGAAATTCAAAATGTTTAATGCACATTTTTCAAAAACATTAAAAGGGGGGATTTAAAATCCATGAGTTTGTCATAGAACGTTAACGATGAAACTTCATAGCTTTCATTCAAAGTACTATTTACTGCTGTCTGTCTGCCTGTCTGCCTGTGTACTGTCTAGGGTCTACTAGTTGGTATCCGCTATCCAGTAAACGTTATATTTAATTGATCATGTAAAAATCCTTAAAAATTGTAGTAGGTAATATTGTCTCGGGGTAATTATATAATGTCGTATCTAACGTCTATAATATATCATGACTGAAAAACTGGAAGCGACGGTTGGTGAAGCTATACACACACACTCCATTTACACAAGCTTCTGGTAGGGGTGGTTTATTTATTTCGTAATTTTTTTATATTTTATATAAATGTATCCAATTTGAAGAGGGAAAAGTCAATTGCCCCTGAGGCGTTGACGACACTTTCCGCTCGCTCTGACACAAATCAAACGACCGCTTTTATGTCGCTATATAGAACACACACACACACACACACACAAATACACATATATAGTATATACATATAATAAACTAAACAAGAACACAATATGTATAGTAGCACAGGCGTATGTGTTTTTTTTCGAAAAGAGACCGAAAATACTAGCTAGCGCCGTTTTAAGGATTTTTACAATAAATTGACTGGGACAAACATTATTATTACACTTGCACTCGCCCCACACACATACACTTTTTGCGGTCTACCGGGTCGGACAACCCCATACCCTCTACCCTCCCCATCTCACTTGAGAATTAAATTCGATTAAGGCACGACGCCACAGCACTATATACTAATAATAATACAGGCGCGATTCGGTGTGCGGTTTGCAATCCGTTTCGTTGAGTAAGTGAAGGTGGCTAATTCGAGTCGTTTTCGTTGTAAAAGTTTCAAATGTAGGTGTAAGGGCACTACAGAGGTTGTAACTTCATGTACCGCACCAAGACGTTATTGTAGAATATTATATAATTGTAATGTAGCTTGGTGATAAGACAGTATAGTATAACACTATGCGTAGGAGTGTCTAACGTCTTGTTTTATTCCATTTCATACTCAAAAAGTTCATTGGTCTCAAACCAGCATAAGCGTACATCACTCCCGTGCGGTATGCAATTTTATTGAAAGGGAAAACTTTCCCACGAGAGCTAAGTTTTTCCTAAATAATTTTATATTACGTGATTCCCTCGTGGTCTAAGAGATGCCATGCTTACACTTTTTAACATGCCTACTGGATTTAAAACCAGTGAGTTTTCATTTCAATTTCATATTCAAGTAAATATTTGGAAAAACTATGATTATTAATTAAACTAGAAAGTTAATTTTAATCATCTTATTTGATACACATTTGGTATGAAAAGTAAAATAACACGATAAATTAGTAATAAATAATACATACTATACTAGCTATAATCCTCTATTTATTTTTTAATTTCAAATTAAAGTTAATAATTGTTCATTTATCTGTAATTGATAAATTACAATATTATTTTATAATTTTTTTTTACATCTTTATGTTATCTTAAAATTAATCATTAAAAAATCAATTATAGTTAATAGAAACACTTTTAAAAACATACCTATACAATATTATTATTTTCTTTTCTATTTGGATTATCTCACTTTTGTATCATTGCAGTTTATTTTTGATGAACATACAAAAGGTACAGTATATATTTTAGGATTTAATTATAATATCATCAGTCATCAAATAAAGATAGTGTACTTATTAAATTACTGCAATTATGACAAAATAAACCTTATAAATGAATTATACGAAGGAGAATATATTAAATATTTTAATGACAATAATATTTCGTAAGAACAGTAGTATACTTATATACACATTATAATTAATAGAGGAACATTTAAAAAAATCATTATTGATTAAGTGGATTTTATTAAATACTGAATGTGAGAAACAATTTAAATCTCATTCATTTTGTCAGAATCACAGTATAAAATAAATTACTGAATCTGACAATAATTCACTTTGTGAGTTATATTTTAACCGTACTGTGTTTTTGTAGTCGTTGTAAAAGAAGTTACCTAATTTATAAAGGAGTACCCTGGAGCAACGTTATGCTTATCTCAAAATTACCATAGTCCTTTGTTTAAATCACGAATATCACATAAAATTTATATTGTTAAGAAACACGAATTTGGATTTATTTTAATAGTATTTAACTCCCGTGACATTTCGTGTCAACCTTACAAAAAACTACTTCTCAAACGCTTCAAAATTAAGAAAATCTTATATTCCCATAACAATGTTTGAGAAAACGGCCATTTAATATAATTATCCTTACACTAAATAGTATTTTTAATTGTTCTAATTAAAAGATGTCATATAATAAAACATCATCATTATGAGATATTTTTAAAATGGTATTACCTATATTATACATTTTGTATTAGTTATTTTTAAACTTTTAATACCCATTTTTTTATTATTGTTCTTAATAGGCTTGGCCAAAATATAATTAAGTATTAACTATTTAGTATTTACATAGATAGGTAGAATGCAATGAATAAAAATAGAAGTACAATGTAAATTAGAACTAATATCCTAGTAGCCGATATTACTATGGTCAATAATAATAAAAGTAGAAGAATCAATACATAAATTAATAATAAATAATCACTTATAGGCAGTTGTTTTTAATAGATACAAGTTTGTTTATAATATTTCAAAAATTTTGGATAATTATTTCAAAATTAAATCTATCAAAACTTTATTCAATAATTAATAATGTACAGTAAAATATATTTTTCGATTTCTAACTGGGAAATCTGAATTTAATCTTAATAGTCGATATTTACCATCATAAATTCACTATATAAAGACGATATTATATTTTTCTTCTTTAAAATTCAAAATATTTATTTAGATATTATTTAATAGACAGAAATCGTAAACCTAATTCGATACCCAAATCTAAAAGTATTACGAAACGAAATTGAATTTTGGGTAGATCAGATAAATAGTTTTATGAGAATTGCTTATTTGCTTGAATATTATTCTATAATATATACGCAAGTCAAAAACGAAACCGTATTCGATTTAAATATTTTTCGTGTTTCTTGAGTATGAATTGTTTTCAAAGTCAATGTACCAACTATATACATAAAAATATAACGATACTATTGTCATTGGGTATATTATAAATATTTCAGAATAAGACAGCAGCGTCGGTGGCTTGGCCTGGACCAGTCGGTCCGTCTCCAGACAGCGATGGCACGGCACCAGGTGGTTCCATACTCATACACCTGCCTGCTGACCCACATAGGAAATGGACGAAAAAAAATAAGGCAAGTGTCTGTTGTAATACTCGTTATTTATTATTGTCTATAAAAACACATTTCGTGTATACAGTACACACACTAACACATCACAAGTAAAATAAATAAATAAAATCGCCTTTTTGTTGAACGAAAAAAAAAATAAAAGTTTAGCAAGGACGTGCCCGGTTCGATGAAAATATCCTGTTACATTTTTTTTATTTGAAAAACACTAACCGTTTGCCCCGATTTCACAGCAATCCGTGAATTGGTCCATTACAATCTTATCGTTATTTTCAGTATAGAACGCAGGGTTCACAAGAGAATAATCATAATCATGTAGGAATTCCCTTATGTACCTGGCGGGGGTCAGTTAATGCACATAAATTAACAAAAATTATAAAATGTATGTCAGACAAATGTCATAAACTCATAACGCAATATCAGCTATGCATATAGTATTATCCGTTATCACATAACAAAATAATGTGTTATTTAAATCCCCCCAGCCACCATACATTATCAATATAATACACATTAAAGTAATTTTTCAGGTGACTAACAAAATTTATTAGTTTATCTCTTATCTTTATAAGTACTGTAAATTATTAAATAAATGATTTGAGGCTATTCGACTTATGTATTTTTTATATATATAAAATATTATCATATAAAGTAGGTACATAGTTCGATTTATCTTAAACTCTCATTATTGTACATGTTTGGATGTATATTTTTTGTTAAATTTTGTTTTGCTATTTTATTTGTAGGTGAACAAAATGAATATGTTTAATGTACGTTTTAAAGGCAATATAATAATTAATATTTTTATTAGCATTGGTTAAAAAAAATTAGTTAGGCCAATGCAATAATTAATCGCTCATTATTTGAATTTGACCCACTATTAGTTGTGATTAGTGAATAGTGGCGCATTGTAGAGGTAAGAATTTCTTACTAAGAAATAACTAATAAGTATCTATACTCATTACTCGCCCATTGCAACAAATTCGCCATTAGGGAGTCAAATTCAAATACTAAGCTATAAGCAATAAAAGATTGCATTGGTGTTACCTATGGCCTTTTTATAGTGTTATTTAAGTTATGTTTTATATACCTACAATGTTTCGTTTCAAAAACATGTTTTTTTTTACTCATGATTAAATAGTTTTGTTGTATAACAATTAGGCACAGTTTAAATTATGTATGAATGGATGGCAGTATAGATTAAAAATATGAGAAATTTACATTTTAATTAAATTAATAATATAGGGTACTAATTTAAAGATTAGAAGTACTAACGAACACAAAGCAAGACCTTCCTACGCCATCGATTGCGACAATATAATAAAATTAGAATTTTTAAGTAATAAGAATTATTTAAATTTACACGCGTGGAACGTACAAAATAATATAGATATCACAGTACCCTTTGCAATTTCGTGCCATTTTTAAGTCCTGAATATTCGTATCGTATACACCTATATATTTTATTTATTATTTTATAAATACGTGTGCTGTGCGCCTATCGCATCGTTTACGAAGCTATGTCGTGTACAACGATCACTGCCACCTAAAAATCGATACCTCCGTACTAAAACCCACCCGTTGGTAAATTTCATTACGAGTGACATTACACCGCTGAGTCACGCAATTATAGTCACGTGTATAATTATGACGCCACGCGTGCAGGAAACCCGTACAGGTATTTATATTTTATAAACTAAACTGCGGAGTCGCCATAACGGGAATGAAAAACGGCGCCTCTAGTTAATAATATGCGTTAGCAGCTAACTGATAATAATAATATTAATCTCAATTACTCCCGAATCGTCGACATCGCAAAATTTGTTTCTCCCCGTCGACCCCATTCGAAGTATTATGACAATGGCCGTAAGCTTAATTTTGCGTAATATACGATTCCCACCACAATGATAATAATATTTATTGATTTCAATTAAACGGTTGGAATCCCAATCGAACAGATAAATACGTAGGTAAATTAAATATAACTGCATGTTAAAAAAAAAAAAAAGAAATATATTTATATGATAGAGGATAATGTAGTATATAAATTAAAAATGAATACAAAAAAAGGTAATTAGTACCTAATAATAATAGACGCCTATAGAAATTACAGGCGATTTAATTATACATATAGATTATAGAATAAAATATAGAGTAAAACTTATCTAGTTTTTCATATTGATAAAAATCAGTCAGGAATATCCTGTCAAACAGGTTAATTACTACATATAGGGACATAGCTCTAGTTAGGGGTGAGTATTATGTAAAATTATTATTATTATATGGGATGTAGATCTATGATCGGAGATCAGTGACGATGAAGAAGGACTTTGAACTGGATGTGATCTAATAAATACGGAGAATTAATGTGGCCATGGATAAGGTTGTAAATGAATGAATATACCGCTTCACTTCTTGTGGCCAAAGCTTGCAAGTTGAGTTGTATGCGAATTGGATAGTATAGTTATGAGGTTCTAAAGGGAGATTTAATTTAACGGCTACAGATTTCAAGGAAGTGTTTTTGAACTCGTTTACTACACGTGTATTACGAATTAAGACTAACGGTATTATAGCCTATAGCCTAAAGGTATATATGATCAAAACGCCTCCCATATCTGCAATACATAATCTGAATTTCGCAGAGCATAATGAACCAAACAAGTAAAGATACGCATATTATGTGTATGCCGTAAAGATAGTCCGACTCAAAATAAAATAATTCTAATAAAAAATGTATATTAACATGAAGAAGCGGAAGGTACACGCGTACAGTTATTAAAAAACAAGTTAAAACTCTGTGATCGAGCTAAAAACCCGGTTTCCAAATGTATTTCAATGGAATGTTGATTGTTGGGTGCATTAAACCAAAATTCCTTTAATAGCTTATGTACAATAATTACGGAAAATAATTTAATATTTTAATACCAACAATCGTAACTATATACTAGAATTAACAGACTGACACAATGGAGGTATAAATTATAAGATGTTCTAGTAAAATATGCGTCAATTCCCAAAGTATTACATTTATATAGAATTTGTCAAAATTAGAAAGTCCATTTTTTATCTCCTTAACTGAACCACATAAATAGGGCCTAAAGCGAAGATAATTTCGGACGCAAATTTACAGAATTTGTGATCACACCTTCTTGTTGACCGGCATCAGATTTTATTTCTCAAAACACTTGGAATGTTTTCGAGTTATTAAACAAAAAGTATTTGAAAATGGTTTGTAAATATTTTGTTCAACTTCAAAGCGAATTCTCGTTCATTCCAACGATTTTTAATATTGGCACGCAACACATCGTGTACCTACCTACCTATAAAAGAGTTCGGAATCGTAAAATAAACGCTCAACCACTATTTTCGTAGCCCTTAAAATAATATTTGTACGATACAAGAACAATAATGTTATGTTATATATTATTATAATGGCCATTATATCCGAACGCGAGAACAAACAAAAATGTTATTGTATATATGAACGAACCTACGCACAGCGCGCCATTGTTAACCGCGATAATATTATGGTCTTAAGATTTTTTTCACGCTCGACAACTATTGAATTTCCATTTATTTTATTTTGTATTTTTGGTTTTTTTTTTTTTTACTAAACTCCTTTGATGTCACGAATAAATTATAAAATAAATAAATTCCCGATTTCAGATTTGTTATCGATTGAGAAGGCTGTGTTCATGTGTAAACGTATATATGAATATTTTTTAAGCCTATGACTCAAGACATACTATAATATATTATGTCTAATAACGTCACTGAGTCTTGGGTTTGCACGGCATCCACAACGGATGTTACCATTTTATTTTCTATTATTATTTTATTATGTTTCACGTTAGCCATACATTTTTATATTATACTAGCTGCCCGACCTTCCTCCGGAAGAAATTATTATTTTATAATTTAATTTAAAAACTTAAGACTATTTTTTGGCTATACAAATAATACAACGATTATAAAATAAAATAAAAAACAGACATCGCTATCGGTGAATATATGAAAATAATTGGTAATTAGTAAATTATTATTATTATTATAATGAGGGTTGAAAACCGGTTTCCTTCGTCTCCAAAATCAAGTTAGATTCTTATATATATAGATAAACGCCTGATATAAATGTTATTTAATTATATTATGTTTATTTAGGTATGCTATGATACCAAACCATATATATGTATATACCTAATATATAAATTGTAATATGCTCTATTATGATAACAATTACAATGAATATTTATGAAGTTAATTTCAGAGTATAATTTATTTTCATAACCATTTTGTCGGGGTGAGGATATGATTACATTGAATCATATATATAATATTAATAATTTATTTATCTACTACCCTAACAATACAATATTTCCCCAAAGTAACATTTGGTAAAATATGTAAGACAAAATTGGATTTGTTTGGTATCCCGTAGCTTTTGAATTTGGTTTTTAGTATAAAAATGTATAGGTACGTGATTATTATTTGTTTTTTATCAAAAGAACCGATAAATCTCACTTACTTATAAAAGATAACAAATATCAGTATTTATGTCATAAATTATTGATCTATACGATTTAACAACTGACATTTTTCTGTTTCGTTAAATACAACTTCACAACCATTATATTTAATTTGTAGCTACTTATTTAAATGCCTATTATATTAATGGTAATTAGACTAGAAAATAACGATCATTTCCATATCAAATTATGGAAAAAAAAAATATTCAAAACAGTTATGTTATTATGTGTAAAGTCAGTTAATAGCATACCATGAACTTCGTAATATTATATTGTTGTAGTAATACTATTGTATATTGGTATATATATGATGGTATATCGTGTTGTACATATATATACAATGTATACATAATACATATGCATATGCTATATTATAATATAAATATATAACAAACATATTCTATAGTCATATGCCTTCTGCCTAATGAAATATGCATCAGTTTTAAAATAAACTGTTTACTTTGGGAACTTCTGGACTTTTTTTCCCATACCTACCTTATATAATATTCATACATTTCGAATAAGCGTATCGAATATAGATAATCAAGATAACAGTTAACTAGGATAATAATTATGAACTTGTGCAATATCGCAATTATTATATAGTAGGAAGTTGTTACGTGTTAGTCTATTAAAAAAAAAACATTCAATTTATATTTGTTATATTTATAACCTCAGTAGTATGTACCTATATATAGGTTCATAATATAATTTATCATCAAATTAAAAACTTGGAATGCTTATAGAAAACTTTGACCAATTAAACTGTAAGGCGAGAATACGTATTATTATAAATTGTATATTTTATAACTTTCTGCATGTTATCAATTTTTTTTTCAAACATTTCTTTAGCTTTGTTACTTTCAACTATAAACTGCAAAGTTTAAGCTGTCATATGATAATTATATGAGTGTGTTGTATGTATTGTGTATACCAATATATATGTGAAACACAACCTAGGTTAACCCCGGAAAATAATGTAATATAACTATATAAGTAGTAGGTACTAAGGTAGCAAGTATTAACTCATTATATAATCAAATATTCGACATTGAACAGTATAATTTTAATTAAATATTGAAATAAGAGTTTAGTCTACGATAAAATATGCGATTTTAATTTCATCGTGGTTATTGCGGTATTGTCGGTGAAAAAATTTCATTAAAAATTATCTAATCGCAGAATCAGTAGAATCGTCATATTCCCGCGCGGCATTAGAATGCGATCAAATATTTAATAAAAACCCATACGAACAACTCGAACGGCGTTGTTGAATATTTCAATTGTGCGGTGCATTATCATAATATATTTATATAAATTTATGTATTATACACAATACGTACATTGTACATATGGCATAGAAAAACGGAACGTGCGCACCGTATACTACTTGTTTACAAATATTTTAGACAATATTACAGGTTTTTTCATCACTATTACATACTTCATCACTCCCATTTCTCATTACTTTCAATTGTGACTTATTAATAGAGTTAGAATTTTATAGCTTTATAAGACTCTTAAAAAAAGCAACCTTTGAATTTAATACATATACATACCTACCTATGGGCTATGGCATATGACTATATGAGTCTATATATAGATTACAGTTAATTAAAAATTATTAACTTTAAGAGTATATAGTATAAGTAAATCAAAAATTACGATAATATGTAATAATGATTGAGCCATTAGCGAGCATGATTCTAAAATAAATATTGGCAGTTCAAATAAGCATTTAAATAGAACATATTGTATAAAAAAAATAATAATCAAAAGTAATAAAAAGGCAAAAAACAACTTAAAAGTAAAAAATAGTAAATATTACACAAAATATAATAAAACGTGGTGTTTTTTAGTTTACGTATGTGTCTAAATTGTATTTTTAGCTTACATAGCTAAATCGAATACCCATAAAATCCAAAGTCTACTTAGTAGTTATTAGATTATTAGCGTCTTTAGACTTTAAGAACTACACTATAATAAAATATAATATACAGATCAGGGTCAATGATTGCGGTGGTACACGAACTGTCGTCGTCATATAAATTGCCTTCCCTCCCCAATTAAAGGCTGCCCAAGGAAAAATTTCGAGTAATTGCTTCAAGTGACGTATTTGAAACTACATTTATTTTTAATGGGGAACAAAAATGTTCATAAGCCAGTCGTATAGTTCTATACCCAGATCCTCTTGAAAAAAAATAACAACTTTATTATCCAATGGAATGGACATGCAGTTTGCATTTACTCTAATTTGCATGGTGTACGAGAAGGAATAAGACTAATCCGCAGTGGCACTATTTGAGTTTTTTTTATATAGGGGTGCCAACGTTTAAGCAGGCCAATTTATTTTCATAATACAAATAATGTGGTGCGAGTACCAATAAATAATAATATACGTCTACAATTAATACCTAATAAATATACGTTACTCCCGTACCTACATTTTATATTATGGACATGACAATTAATTATTATAATATATTTTAACTTTTATGCATCGGCCGTCGGTGGGTTTATACACATTTTTATAGTAGGCAAATAAGATACAGAATAATATAAGGGTGTCAAAGAATACCCCGCCACCCGCCCCCTCCCCAAATGGTTCCCCTGCTATAATCCTGCAAGTATCATCTTGCCGATAGCGATCACAATGTGACTATGTGAGAATACAATAAAATTCGAATTTGTTCAGGCGCATTAGGTATATAGCCAAACATAAATATTATGCCTGCAGTATAGCATATTATATTATATGAGCGTTGTTCGGGCGCATATAGTGTCAAACATATAACCATGATAATACAACCATATAAGGTGAGATATGTACTTCAGTTTGTATTTTTTTAACGCAGTATCACATAATTTTCTTGTAAGTACCTATGTATATGATATATATTACCTACGCGTATATCAGAAGTAATAAAAGAAATTAAAAAAATAGTTGCGATTTCGTATAAGATTTCATGTATTATTATACTACGTGCAGATATATATATATATATATATATATATATATATATTATATATTATTTATATATGTGTTTATCCTTCGTACGTATTAAATCTCGAAGGTATTCCCCTAAGACACATATAATACTACGTACCTACCCATATTATGCTATTGCACTATATAATATGTATATAAATACGCTATCTCGAATAGTCGTCCTCACGCGTTAGCCCATTTATCTCCGATTATATCCTTTCGAATTCAGAACTTTTGGCCAGAAGTCTATTGAATTGATCTTAAAAGGAGTTCATGGCCGTGTTCAGCATACAATTTTTGGGATTCATTCTGCTAAACCACTATAACTTTTATTACCACGTTGGACTACAATTTTCGAAATCACATCTTTTTCAAACATATTTAGGTACGCAATATATTATCTGAGAGTTAGAAAAATCTATTGAAAATTGGAAAAAAAATAATGACTATTACAATACAGCTTACATTATAACCTTAATAAAATCGATTATTTCAGTTATTTTTTAAAAATAATGACCCCAGAGACTTGAAATTATAATTTACTAATATTATATAACATAATAACTATAAAGTATTATGTATAGAAAGAAATAATTTTCGAAACAATGTGATCGCATTTTATTTTTATGCGAAACATAAAAGTCAATATTTTAAAAATGTCCTATAAATATTTCAATAAACTAAACTCCGTTCAGAATCATTTTTAAATTTGATTTCTATTAAATCAATAACATAACAATAGTGTACCACTGAAATCTCCAGAAGTCCGGCTCTTGTAAACATCTATGGATAATTTATTGTATAGCATAACTTATAACTTATAAGCCAAAATAAGTACATTATTGATAGTTAAAAAATTTTGAACATATTTATGAAAAAAAAACGTGTACTTATAATAATGCTCCTTTGAACCTGTATAACTGTATGAGTGTTTCCACGAAACTGTTTAAAGGTATAGCAGCCAATCACTTATTATAATTTATATTTAAGGGAAAGTCATACGCAAAAGAACCACATGTATTAACCATGTTTTCTTATTTGCAAAATATACGTATTGTTGTATAAATATTATAATATGTTCTCTTATAATTAAAGTGTGTTCTTAAAATAATCCCAATGACCTAATACTTACTGAAAGAAATATTTTTACTCTTTGAGTACTATTGTACCAACAAAACATAATAATCGTCATAATTAAATGCCATGCCTACACCTAATACTTAAACATTATATGTATAGTATCAATACTAATGTATTATAATATACATATTATACTACCTGTTATATAAAGTAATGTATCGTATTATTGACTATAGTACACTATGTATTAGATGCTAAATTGAATTTCGTGTGCTTGCTCTTTTAACTAGGGTTTTTTTTTAGAAACCTAATCAGAATTCAACTTTGGATCCATCACTGCATTCAACCCTTCAAATTTAAACTATAATATCGGGTGAAATACGATTGTGGACTACCACTCTATATGAAAAAAGATTTTATTTTGTATCCAAAAAATGACACAATTTTCGACGAATTTGAATGAAAAGTTTTTGTGCAAAGTTGTGCGATGCAGTCTAGTTTTCATCTATTATCGTAGATCTAGTTCACCAGTTTTCCCTTAATATCTGTCACTCAAATTACCTATTTGTACAGACTACAGAGTTATTTTCACAAATATGCTCACCGGAAAGATTCATAGGCAGATTTTTATCAGATGTTCTTTAACACTTGCACTGCAATCTTTATTTATACATGACCATTTTATTAACCTATCTTTCCACTGTCTACATGGATGATTATTCTATGTTGGCAACCATTATCAACTCGTATCCACGTCCCGATGTAATTATTTGAATATTGAATTCCCATAATTTAAAAAAAAAACACAGCAAATTATTAATTTAAGTAGTTCACAACTCAACGCGTGTACTATGACTGAAGTGTTTAATTGAAATGACTTGTAAAATATCGCAAGTAAGCGTTTAATACGCTCAAAATTCCCACATTGCCAAAGAACTTAAACATTTGGCAAAATGTGTCCACAATCGTGTTGTTTTCTGGGGTTTATCGTTACATAGCGTACAACCGTTCGCAATCGTGTATCATCGACGATCTCTAATTGAAATCCAGGCGTTAATAAGCCGATTAATATTTAAACAATAATGTATAACCCATGCTTTTGCGACTCACCCCCCAAACAGATCCACGATGCCCTGTCATTCGGCGGTGGTGATGGCGACGACCGGAGGCTGTACGAGCTGCAGCAGGGCGCGGCGGCCAACACGCTACTGTACGTGGGACTGTGCTCAGTGGCCCTGGGCCTGATCATCGCGTTCGTGGGCACCGGTGAGAAGGGCTTCAAGACCGTCCAGCTCCGGTTCATCGGGCCCGGCATGATCGCCATCGGGGTGTGCTGTTGCGCCGTCCGCATTATGTTGTGCTTCTGTCCGCCGACGTTTTGCTTCAAGCGTCGCCGGCACAAGGGTGGCGGTGCTTCCGACAAAATGGCCGAGTTCTACAAATACATGCCGTTCCGGAACCATCCGATAAATGCCAACGCGGCCGCTTCCGAACCGCTCACCGGAGTCGTCGTCGAGACCGTACCGATGGCGGTCCTGAAACCAGCGCTGAAACGCGTGTCCATGGCAGCCGACCAGCAACCGCAAACCGTCTGCCAACAAGTGAGTCCCCCAATTTTTTTTTTTTTTTTTTAAATATATATGTGGTATACGTGTCAAGTATATATCAGTATATAAATTAGTATATCAATTAATATGGATTATATAGACGATGCACGTGTATAGCCGTATAGGAGTGACCATCGTAGAACTGTAGGAGGATACGTGGATGTGATGCATACCTCCCACTTTGATTTCAACCCCACAACCCCCTGAAAAAATTATTTTTGATCAAATTATACTGTTTTAAATTTTAAATCCTTAAAGAAATGTTAAGAAATTCAAATTAAGGTCAATAGTATACCTCCGTGGAACGAATTTGTATAACAAAACGAGCATCGAAATAAAGGATGCATTAAAATGCCAGTCCTACATTATTATAAAAGCGAGGGGTCTCCAAACATTTTTATTTCAGGGGCATACGAAATATCAAAAGTTCTTAGTGGGCCAAAAATGTATAAGCACATCTCATTTTTAATTGAAAAAATTAAATATTATAAAAATAGTTCTTACAATATACTTAAATATACTTAGTTATTAATAATGATACAGGTAATAATTGAGTATTGACACGTGCTCGCGATAATGGTTTTGGATATTACGCATATTTTTAGATTGTTCCATTTGTTCTTCCTTTGAGGGGCCAGTGATAATTTTTTCGATGGCCGCAATTTGGAAACCCCTGAATTATTATCTCTAAACAAATTTAAAAATCCCCCCTACAATAAAATGTTTCTCTACTCTACGTCACCACTGTATATACTTATAGCATTCAAAAGGATACTGTATAAATTGTGTCTTTTCAAATTTATATTTATTTCGATACGTTTATTGAAGGAAGCACACAAAAACTAATTTACTGAAACTTCCACGCCCGTGTTAGACTTTCGTCAAATATAAAACGTGAATATTAAATTTACTTAGCACGGAAGTGTACATTAGACTTGAAAAGTATTGGCACTGATTTTTTTATCCATCTATTTTTAAACATGTACGAAAGAAAAACGTTCATTATTATTTGTATTGTTCGATCAGGGAAAACCGTAATACAACTGATCTCCCATTGACATAAAAATATAATAGGCAGGTACTAGGAAAATATTTAAAACGAAAATATTTAAGTATAAAAAACACCCACTATCTGGTGCAATTATTATTCTGTGAACGAAACAAAAAAATATCCGGTCATCCGGTCGGAACGAAATCGAAAAAAAATAAACTCGTTACACTAAATTTTGTTCGACCTTCAGATCTTATAGTACTGTATGTGCGTGTATACTGTTTGTCTTTAATAAATTAGCATTTGCGTTGTAAAACATATTAAACAAATTATCGTAATATATATGCTGTAAGAGATGAATGAAATACATTAAGTCTTAAATACATAATTATAGAAGTGCAATAAAATATACTATAAAAAATAGTCTCGCAACGATTTGAAGTTCTAACCATCATCTACCAGAACATTCGATTATTATTATAGTTATTATAGCTACGGTTGTACCTATACTGCAACTTTTTCATCAACGTTAGTAAATCTAAGAATATTATTATAACCAGCAAAGAGTGGATTAATAAAGTACTAAACATATATTTTAACATAACAACTCATTCGACGTATTTCGTTTTGTAATTGTTCAGTTGGGCCAAAATATTATTATTTATTACTACAATATTCAAGTTTACGTTACATCATCAATTATGTACCTATAGCCTATAGTATTATACACCTATGGTCTATAATAATAGTAATAATTAAACGGATTATACCGAAACTGTTGTTTTTCGTTGGATTATAGATAGGTACTATTGTGTCACAACAGTACTTAGTATACTATTATTACTTCATTTTAATATATCTATTTAGTATTTTGGTATCTATAAATGCTACAGCTTGTTTGTATTATACGTTTCTAGTAATATTATAATTAACAACATCCATGAATACGTTAAAAGTTTAAAGCTTTCGCCCCAGTAGCAGTTTTTACAAAACTTCAATGACTTTTTGTAACACGGCACAAAAAATATGCAAACAATTATTTTCATCCCCTTTCAAAGATTTCCCTACTATGTTATATCCTTATCATATTTTAAAACTTTTAGTAACTTTAGTACTGTTAATAATTACCATGAATTATTATTTTTAATATTCAAGTATTAAAAGAAATTAACCAAGTCTTACTCAAGACGTGACTTTCAAAGTCTAAAAGTATGTGTGTGTGAGATGTAGGTGATCGGGCAGATAGTGCTAAATCTACACGTGTCAAATAAATTACACAAATTATACCGATTTTAATTTAATGCAATAAGGTTAATTTTCTTAATATAAATTGTATAGATATTCACAAGCTCATATTTAATTTTGACGATATATTATCTAGTATATAACTGCCGCAGGGTGCGGTTTTTGTACCCGGATCCTCCCTTGTTCCGGAATAAATCTTCATACTTCGTTCTGAAGAAAACGATGATTTTTTGATATTTTGATTACCCATTATATTCTATAAATAAAAATAAATCATAATCTCTTGCAACATAAATTTTAATTTGGAACACTGGCCACATAATGTACTAATATATTTATTCATTGTTTGTCTACATACCTTTCACCTATTATAACTATAGTCTTATAAGTTATAGACTAACAATATTGTGGCGGAAAGGATTGGGTGTGTAGTGTGTATTAAAGATAAGTTATTACTTGTTATATATACACAGAATATTTTATAAATGTTATACCCAGGCCATAAAATGTCCGGTCGCGTAAACATTCAAACAAGGTCGTTACAAATTTTCAGTCTAATGTCTAAAAAGATAACGGTTTGTTAAAAGCCTTATTCTGCCATTATCGTATAAAATGTCTCCTCTATATAGGTGCTATATGGGTACTGGGTTGAGGAACCCGTATGGGTGTTTTGTACAAACAACTGAAATTTTTTCTACATTTGGCATTTCATGTTAAAAATAATAATTGTACATTTTTACTTATCGGTCCCATTGACTATGCATTGATACAACCGTAACGTCCGTAACGCGTTTTGAACTAAAACTAAAATATATATTGGTTTTTGAAACGTGAATCTATAACATGTGTATATATTACTTTTGTCTCTTAATAATGTATATATATTATTTATTACTAATACTTAATAGATTGTCATCGCAAACAATATTATGCCGACGCTTGCGTTTTATCGCAAATAAAAAACGATTTTGTATTAAAAATGTTTACGATATAGTATGTGATATTATATTTAAATCGTATTTAGTCAACAACATTCAACACCTACATAAATTATAAAAAGTAACTGCAATATCATTGTTACTTTCATATAGCTCTAACCTATGTAAGCCTTTATTCACTAACCACATTGTTACTTTGGCCACCGTTTTGTGAAATAAATATGGTTTACTGAATTAATATATTTAAAAATGTGAAATTATCATTATGTCTCTGCCCTACAGTTAAAGCTTCGCTTTATTGAGTGTATAAATTTGAATCCAGTGATTTATATCATTGTAACAAAAAACGATTCTGAGGGATGGTCGTCACTCGTCAGCCTATATCAAGTATTTGAATGATATGTTTTTTTTGTATCGCCATTAAAATAAGTAAGTTATTTTACTTATAGTATTAAGACAGATTGATTTAATTTTTGTCAAAAAGATTGCGTTTATTATACTAATTAATATTTAATTATTATAATAGTGTATATTTTTATTGTATCATATTATTGCTATTATGTATTAACTTTTGAGTCGTCTTATCATTGAACAGTATAGATAGGTCCATGATATGAATCCTGACGAATACTTATTGTTTTTTAATTACAGCGAAAAGATAATATTAACATCGTTTTTCTTCGTTAAAATGTCTATAATTTCGTCAAAATAATAATATAAAATGTTAATAAAAAAAAATGTACACAATAATTGTTAAGATTATTTGTTGACAATATTCTATTTATGAATTTTCAATCCTTAACTATATTAAAAAATTGAATAAGGTGATTTATCTGTCTTCCACTTTTCCCGATTATACCATTATACCGCCGGAATAAACTGCTGCCGTTGTAATAAGATATCTGACAGTAAATAATTTTAAAAATATTACCAAACAGCTTTAATATTAATAACATTGTACTACAATTTCAAATTTGAATATATCAATTAAAGCTGTTGGAACTCAAAGAACAGCCTGACAAAAAAAATAAAAAATGTGGAACGCTTCACGATTTTGCGTGTCATCCTTGCGCAGGGGCCATGCTAATCTTCTCTGTATCGTTCCAATTTTAGTATATGTACTGCCGAAGCAAGTACATTGAGTCTTGTGCCCAATTCTGTATATATAAAGCGCAATGTTGTGTGAACATCACATGTGAGAGCAGATGCGTTGCTTGTTCTGAACATAACGACGTAGGACGCCCGCCAATAGATGGGGCGAGCTACTTCGGGAACCGATCGGAAGATCATTTTTTCTAATATTGTATTATTGGTACACATCACATATGTATTTAATTGATAAATATTTAATTGTATGTTTAAAATTTTGACTACAAAGGCCGGATGGTATAGACAGGGTAAAAAACTAAAAACATCACTTCATGTATTTAAAATACAAAATAAGTATTTGGAAAATACTTGCTAAATAAAAATTAAGGTAAAACAATTTTTAGACATTGTTTTGTTCGACTTTTTAGAATGGTAAAAAATGTAAAATCGTTTGTTAGACATATTATACGTTACTACGCTTTAGTTTAATGAACGCATAAGACTTATATTATTATGATTATTATAATTTTGTTATACTTGATGATTTTATCAGATGATATGGCAGAAACATTTGTTATTTAATACTTTGACGAACCGGCAAATAATAACCTTTAGTTGTAATTTAAATTTTTTTCTAGTAACTGAAAAGACCTGTCAAGATTCAATATTTAAATGTCCATCCCAATGATTATATGTGCTTGTCTGTAATGAGATTTTGGAGCAGCAAAAAAATGCTTCATTAGTTATTACATTTTAATAGTGACTTCTGGTAACAAATGTAATCTATTAGGTACTTGGAGGACGTAATAAATAATAAAAAAATTTTACCCAGTATTTTTTTGATAACTGAACTTACTGAACTGATATAACTGAAAAACAAACTAAACAGTAAAAAACCTATAATTAACTTACAATGTTTATGCAACAACAGTTTTCAACAAAATAGATTTGGTGTTTTTGTTATAAAGGCTTGATATTTCTTCAAATATATCTTATAATAGAATATTTTTTTACAGAATATACTATTTAAAATTTATTTAAGCCCTTTCAATGCTTTTAAATTTTTACAGACATTTTTACCTTTTCTTCGAAATAGACGAGTATTTCTTAGATTTTGCACGGAGCGATGAATGTATTGATTTTACAACAATATGTTTTTGTTTTGTCCGTGTACAGTGTACAAGATAAGTAATTGAAATAATGCTTCAATTTTCTACTTCAGTAACTTTTTTGATGGAAAAGTGAATCTAGTTGATGCATTTAAAATGTCAAAATTGAAAATTCGCAGTAGTTAAAAGCATCGGGGGAAACAAAATCAAAAAAATTTAGTAAAAACGAGATTTTTTACGCAAAACCAATTTTTCACAAAATCGATTGTGTTTTTTAGTTTGACTAAAAATAATAATAACCGTAGACACATGATTTGTTTCTCGAATGTCTACATTAGAATTTTCTATGCATTATAACATTTTAAAATATTTTAACTCTTATTGAGTTATTTATAAGCATGAGAAATTTTTGATTTCTATTAGTTTTTTAATTTTTTGTTCAAAAAGTAAGAACATTTAATACTGCAAGGTCCCTCTAAACAATTGTTATAAATTATAATACCAAAATAAAAATATTAAAGATGAATTAGTTATTTATTCTAAGAATAACAATTTCAGCTTCTTGTTGTAATTTAAAAAAATTATTCGTTTGCATTTTTAACTTTGAACTACTAACATCTTTTTTCAGTTAAGACTTAATGTGGTAGTGAAAGTTTTAAAAGGACAATATTATTTTATAATTTATACACACAATATTCAATTTTTTTGCAAATACTATTTCAACCTACTGTATTCCTAATGTCTAATAGTAAAATAAAACTACTTTAATAGCAATAATATCATAAAATATACTTCGCAAAATCAATCTAAAGTAATACCTATATAGTAGCTATAGGTAAATACTTTAATAGCAATATGAAAAAACTGAACAAGAAAATATTAACTTGAATACTTGATATTGGCTGATTATAATATCGTTGAATCCAAATTTAACATAATATCCATTACAGTGACCGACTCGATACCCATACTGAACAGGAGAGCGGTATCCACTTACCCACCTTGTGCTATTCAATAATAAGTAAATGATTATAGTATACCTGTACAATGCGTTTTAATATTATTCCATCATTTTCAAAATATCTCTGTAGCCCACTGCAGAATCCATAGACATTGATTCCGCTTTACTGTTTTGCAGGCGAAAAGGATGCCCAAGGCCACTCCAGAAGCCAGCCTGGACAGCAGCATGGAACATCTGATCGAACAGGATGACCATCTGTACACGAAGGACGAGGTGAGCTCGAATAAAAATCTTTCCAACCTCAAGTCAACGTTGACATTCGAGGACTCGTTGAACGTGGCTACCAAAATGATGGTCAAATCTTTCGAGGAACTGAACAACACGTCTTCCATGCCCGGAGGTGATTCCACCGACCAGCACCGACAGGAGCTTGTGCTAAGCGCCGTGAACCTGACAAAGTAGAATAGCGAGTCGGACCGCACAATATAATACCCATACTACATGATATTATACCGTAGTACATAATAATATGATAAATTATTGTTGTATATTCAGACGAATTTGGCTGTGACGAATAACCCCATGCATGTACCTATATAATATGTATATACAATGTATTATTATGTGTGTAAATTAACGATTAACTACATACATATATACAGTAATCCCTCGTAATCCGCGGATTTTTAATCCGCGATTTCGATTATCCGCGGTTGGGTCGGCGATAACATTTTATTAATTCATACGATGAAATTGTATCTTTATTATACCCATATACTTATAACAGATAAGCTACATGGCTGCTACCAGTCGCGGAATGCGACTGGGAGTAAGTAACGGCCACAGCTACTAGCTCCCGGATGGGTGACCACTGACCACCCGGGTTCATAGTAGTTAAAAACCTTGCCACACATACACGTGTTTGCTACTTACCGTAACAACCCTAACAATCGTAAAAACAACCTACAGTACCAACCTTACCACTACCACAGTTCATAACCTAACCCCTACCACAGCTAATGAGTAATGGCCTTACTGCCTTAGTCGCTGGGCGTAAGTGCAATAAAAAAAAAAAAACAAGATAAGCTCATAAAGTACATACCTTAATAATATGTACGGTTAATTTGTCATATCTTAAAATTGTTCAATTGTCGGTTGATATTAGTGCGCGACACGTGTACGGTTGTATTACTATTTAATTTAGTACCATTAAATACAAAATATGTACAAAATAATAAAAATTAAAAATTGTATGTAAATAAAACCAAACTTCCCGTTTTACATTGCTTTATGCCTTAATGGTCTCGTTATCCGCGGTCTCGATATCCGCGCAACTTTGCTGGAACCTAACCTCCGCGAATAACGATGAGGGATTACTGTATATTAGAGTAGAATCGTATAGGCGGCATTGTGATGGGTGGAACGGGGATACACCCTCATAGTATTATTCGAAGGGGCGAACATTCCCGACGCCAGAAAACAGGGTGTGAGAATGTGAGATGGAAGAAGAGAAATTAATGCTTCATGAGTGTAGGTAATACCTATAGTCCAATTTTGTTTTATCGATTCCAGTTTTTTCAATTTGCATTCCTATTTATAAAGTATTTCATTTCTGCATCCTGCAGTATGTTTGCCAAGTACCACCTGTAGGTAGGGGTACCGTGAACTAGGACACGTATATTTATTTTGATATATTATTTTATATTATGAAATATATAATAAGAAACTCGACGACGCGTGTATGATATACCTACGTGTTAGAAAAAGTTAGCAATTTTACAAATTTTAGTTTAATCGATTCTCGTAATCCGTGTACATATATTATCTAGGTGTATACCAATACATTTGTCACTTGCATAATGTAGATGTAGACAGGCAGACAGCTATACTATTAGTATTATCGTATAATAAACGAAGGTAGGTACTACCATATTTAATCTATTCTGTGGTACTTTACAACCGCCATTTTGGTGACGAAAAAATTAACATATTATATTATTATACTCATATCATATAGGTTCATGCCAGTTTATAGAAGATACATATATGGTGTGAATATTTACAATATTACAATGTACGAATGTCATATAATATGTAATATATACACCATATGTGTATTATATACGGTACAGACTATACTACTATAGGTACCTAGTGCTTGGTGTAAATATAACATTCAGCTAGAATATCGCATTATACATCTCACTATATAAATAAAACTGCCGACTTTTACCCATACCTTGTGTAATAATTGTTTATGTGTACATTGTGTTTAATATAATATGCCTATAATAACAAGTGTTAGTACTAAATCATGTTAAACAATTACATTAAATTATATTAAACTAAATAAACCTACGGTGTACATACAATAACGAGGACACTCGTTTAATGAAATTGTTGTTATTTATATTATTAGGTACCTAGGCATATTATACCCATTTTCGTTTATATCGGATGAAAATAATTTGAAAACTGTTTATGTGTAAATATTGAATTATGTAAGTGCGTTTACGTGCATAACGTGTTGTTAACAACTACTAACGATAAGAGAAATACATAAATATATCTGAAGAAATTTGCGTAAAGAGTACATCCTTTAAGGGAAAATTGTTTTATTTTGGACTTTGTAGTTGCACAACGCCGTATTACCCATATATTGTTAAGAAGCTTTTACCCGGACATATAATACGCAGCAATACTTCGATAACCTAATTTTATGTGTCTCGCATTCTCGTATATATATAGCTCATATATGAGTGTTTGATATGTATATACAATATATAATGTTGTTCGTTGCGTAATATTTCCTGCAGGTTGTATATTATGAACATTGAACTAGCGGGAAAAACACATTATACCAACAAAGCAGTCATTACTCATTAGTCATTTTACATGATCCTATAACAACGTTAAAGAACATCATCCAATTCCCATCACATATATACTTAATAAGTATACCTATACATATTACACAGTGGCGCAGCAGGGGACGGCGAGCCTGCCTGAAATTTTAGGAAAATGTAAAAATGATTTCAGTGTTCGGTGAAACCCCTGCGGCCCTGCGTTTTATACGTAACCATGTATTAAAATATTTGTACAATTAGTACAATTTATTTGTACGAAGGTTCCTGCTCAAGTCCAAAACAACACATATCATCATAACAAATTTACGAGAGATCCAAAGTGGTTAAGTCGTTTTATACAACACTGAAGTTTCAGCATCCATGCCAAAAAACTAAATTCTAGCTACGTCACGCTATACTTATACATTCAGTACAGCGCACATATATAACAGATTACCGGTGATAGCCACCTGTTTAACAGTGGCACACATAATGTTTAATTTCACAGTAGGCCAATAATTAGATTTTTTGGGGGGTCCGAAATAGATACCCATGGGCTATGATACAATGTTTTAATTAAACCTGAAATTGAACAATTAGCCTATATAATAGCCATATAGGAATATCACTGAGTGGTTCGGTGTAGTAAATATGTGTGTACTGTGTTAGCTTTTGGGGTCTGCTATAGAAAAACAATTTACCAAATAAATAAACAAATACAAATGTATACTGTGTGCAGAACAATTTAATAAGATTTTTCTATGAAATCTTAATAATATCAAATATTTAAATTGGAACAATAATATGTAATATTATTACAATATCCAATTTATTTGATACTTTTCACTTAACTATCTTTACTAATAAATAATAAATATTAAACAGCACAATGTGGTGCGAAACATAAACTTGATAAATATATGATAGATATTATACGGTATTACGGTAAGGCCTCTCTGTGTTGGCACAGCTCTCATGTCAGTCCGGCTCTAGTGTAGTGATGCATTTTGGCAAAAAAAAAGGTAGTACACATTAGGTAGTTATCTGCAGTTGTGTAAGAACTCAGACCGACAAAATCATCGACCGGCAGATCCGACACATTGTCTCAATACATAACCACGTCGAACACCTGCAAAGCGACAATAACATAGTCCCGGACGCGCTATCGAGGTTAGAAGTTTCGGCGACACAAGTAGTCTTACCCGTCTTCAAACAATCGTCGGCCGATCTAGCCAACTTGAAAGTTAAAAACGATTGTGACATTGATAAAAAAAAATAATGTTACATTTGATATTCCTGTGTAGATGAATTTTTTTTTTTTTAGTGATGGGAGATTGAGATTTATATTTAACACTCAGCTCAATTTAATTGCTGCAGTTATTAAATTTAAGACAGTATAATAATTTCAAAAATATAAACAAATCATTTATAATTTAAATATTCATAAAATAATAACCTTATACTGCAATGTTAATCCTTCTGATACGTCATGATTTATGCTATTGGAAGTTGGAACTCAATTGACTCAAAGAACTGCCTGGCAAAAAAATGTGGAACGCTTCACGATTTTGCGTGTCATCCTTGCGCAGGGGCCATGCTAATCTTCTCTGTATCGTTCCAATTTTAGTATATGTACTGCCGAAGCAAGTACATAGAGAACTGTGCCCAATGCTGTATATATAAGGCGCAATGTTAAGTAAGCGTCACATGTGAGAGCGGATGCGTCGCTTGTTCTGAACATAACGACGGAACCACGATGGAACACGGCCGCCAACAGATGGGGCGAGCTACGTCCTGAACCTATTATGTTCGATTCACCGACTACTACGCGTCATGCAGTAGTTCGTGGTTAAATTGTTTTTTCGTTCAGAATCGTCATTTTATTTTATTTTCATCGAATCATATCATATAATATTTAAACCGAAATCCGTTTGAAATATGTTATGTCCAAAACAAGTATACCTAGCCGGAAACGTAATTTTATGGAAAATTCAAAATGTTATATTGTGAAAATATGATTTTGGTACCTAGTAAATATTGTAATATACTATATATTTTGTTTTAATCTTCTTTTGCTCAGAAACATATTTTCATGGAAAATATTTTGTCGGAAATGTATATTATTAGCTATTGGTTACGACGTTAGTTTACTTTAATATAGGAAAAGAATTCAACGTTCCGGCAATACCTACGACCAATTATATTCCAACAAATTATAAGCCTCTCAGTCTATCAGAGGAATAATATTGTTTCCCATTACCTTCCAAAAATATATTGTTGTAATCATTGCATTAAGAAAAATAATGAAAATTCTTAGATAGCAACCTATACCTACACAATTTATTTTTAACTTTTAAATAATTATTATGTTATCTTAAAATAAATCATTATTAAATAGTTGATCACTGCTCAATCTGTTATTCTGTTAGGTACAAAGAACAGGTGTTCACTAGTTTATATATTTTTATTCAGATGAGTGATGTAAAAATCAAATTACTATGTAGGTTTTTCAAGTTTCCAGTACCTTTTTACTTACCTATTGGGAGAAACTAAATAAAAACAGTACTAAATAGTAAATAGTAACATACAAAAAAATAGGTAATATTAAATTTAATATATCTTCAAATTAATCTAAATATTTTGAAAATGCCATGGTGTAGGTATACTAAAGTACATAGGCGGTCCTACGGGTGCAGCCTCTGCAGCCTGTGCTGCACCTGACATTACAACCACCACTTTATTTTATTGGTTGAAATCATATNTTTAAACCGAAATCCGTTTGAAATATGTTATGTCCAAAACAAGTATACCTAGCCGGAAACGTAATTTTATGGAAAATTCAAAATGTTATATTGTGAAAATATGATTTTGGTACCTAGTAAATATTGTAATATACTATATATTTTGTTTTAATCTTCTTTTGCTCAGAAACATATTTTCATGGAAAATATTTTGTCGGAAATGTATATTATTAGCTATTGGTTACGACGTTAGTTTACTTTAATATAGGAAAAGAATTCAACGTTCCGGCAATACCTACGACCAATTATATTCCAACAAATTATAAGCCTCTCAGTCTATCAGAGGAATAATATTGTTTCCCATTACCTTCCAAAAATATATTGTTGTAATCATTGCATTAAGAAAAATAATGAAAATTCTTAGATAGCAACCTATACCTACACAATTTATTTTTAACTTTTAAATAATTATTATGTTATCTTAAAATAAATCATTATTAAATAGTTGATCACTGCTCAATCTGTTATTCTGTTAGGTACAAAGAACAGGTGTTCACTAGTTTATATATTTTTATTCAGATGAGTGATGTAAAAATCAAATTACTATGTAGGTTTTTCAAGTTTCCAGTACCTTTTTACTTACCTATTGGGAGAAACTAAATAAAAACAGTACTAAATAGTAAATAGTAACATACAAAAAAATAGGTAATATTAAATTTAATATATCTTCAAATTAATCTAAATATTTTGAAAATGCCATGGTGTAGGTATACTAAAGTATTATAATATATGTAAAAGTTTTATGTCACCATAAACCATAAGGTAAAATTCACAAGTAACAAAATTGTTTTTAGTTCATAAACAAACATTTCATCATACTTAAATAAAGAAAAAATTCAAAAATTCAAATATCTATAAATGCAATAAACTAAGAGTTCATCTAAAATTGCTATAAACTTTTATTTTTCAAATAGTAAAATTATTACAAATTCAGTGTTCATATTACATTATTAATTAGAAATTTCCAAGGTGGTAGTAAAAACACTTAAGCTATTCTTGTGAAATCTACATCTTATATATTTTACTAACCAGGCACTTAAATGTATTGCCCCTGCCAAGTACATACAGGGCTGTATTACAATTTTTGCGCCCTGGATCAACCATAATTTTATACCCACGCCCCCCACCAAAAAATAGATCCACTTTTTTTATTTTTCTTAACACATTTTTAGTCATGGTTGTCTATCTATAACTGTGGTTATGTTAAAATAACATTAATTATAATATTCTATGCTAGCACTTATCTGTTATCATCGCACTGCTAAGTTTACAAGGGTCGTGCCATAGTACAAATTCTTTCCAAAAAAAATTATTTATTGATACAATACTATACCGTGTTGCAGTGGTGCCCGGCTGCCCTCTAAATAGATCAATATTTGGCCGCCCGGTGCAAATGTCCCCATTGCACCCCCATATATACGGCCCTGCATACATGCATAGTATTATGTTCAAATGTTGTGTCCTATACTCGCAACTACCTTCATAGATCTTATACTACTAGACAAGCAATGGATGTATAGAAAATGTAACAAAAATGAGAAAGCTTTTTGATTACTCATATGCATGGTAGTGAGGGATGGCAGGATAAGGTATATCGATATATTATAATATATTATTGTATTTTTTTTGTACAAACAGCGTACACCACTGCAAGATGTTATTACGCAGCCCACATGATGTTATTGTTATACACAGTTCTTGTCTAGTGGTATTAGGTATATGCCCACCTTCTTCACAAATACCAGGAACAATGCCCAAAACTACGAACTAATGAGTCCATAAGACCTGAAGATGTACACAGTGACACCAGTATACTTATATAATTAATTTTACTATAGTGTACTCAGTACTCACATAATATATATATAAATATAAAGTATATACATACATACGTTATACTACACATACAAATTGAGCATTTTAAGCAAGTTTTAAACTGTTTGTATTAGTAACATCATAAATATTTTAAGTATTACTTTACAGATAAAGGCAACAGTAAATATATTAAAAAATAAAGTAAATAAGTTTTTAACACATTTCCAATTAGCACAATAGTTTTTAATCCAGGGTCTTGATCAAATCTAAAGACAAAATGCATGACAGAAATAACATAACAAATAGGTACACATGTAGTAGAATAGAATAATAAAAAAAAAAAATTTTAAATAACAAAATACAATAAAAAATGTAAGAAGTTAGACCTTTGAAATGTTTAACATACTGTTTGCTCGTGCTCACTATGAAATTGGTAAGTAGATACATAAGTATACTTAAAACCTAACAATTATTAAGATCTAAATGGTTTACTTGATTATACACGAATACAAATTAACTTACAGTTTATATATTAAAAAATAAAGTAATATAAATACTTAAATTGAATATTATACAGTCAAACAAAAAATGTAATATTAGTATGTATTTTTATTTTATAGAAATTACTTACAAAAAAAAAAAAAAATGTGTAAAAATATAATAAATCTGATTAAGTCTAAAAATATTAAACAATTCAAAATGTGTAAGCCTATCCTACCTATAAAATATATAGGTATTTTAAAATATTAATTTAAACATTTAATTAATATATTTTATGAACTATTACTTTTTGTATCGTGATACAAAAATAATGATCATAAACACCACATTCAGATTTATAACTTTTAATTTACATTATCACTTTTAACTTATATTATAACAAAAAAAAATTAAATCAAAATATGTAGTACCATTTCTGCCCTAGTATAATCCATGTCCATATTATACAACTTTATTTAAAACTTCACAAATGATTTATTTTCATAAATAAATTGTAATAAACAGTTATATTATTTTAATTAATGTGGATTAAATAGCTTAAGATATAACCCACATTCTGAAGAATTAAATGACTAAAGATAAGTTGAACAATAAATTTATTGTAGTTTGAAATGTAACCTGAATAATAATAACCACAAATGGTACAAATATTGTATGAAGTTACTATCGACAACCATTTGAAAGGTTAAGAAGTTATTAAGATTAAATATGTATATTTATTTATAAAAAATCTTAATAAGCTTGACTTACAAAGTGCAATAATAATTTACCCATTCATTTTCCATTACAAATGCTTCGACCGCTTCTTTTAAAGCCAAATTTGGAATGAGTTGATCAACAGTTAAATGCTGCCGTGAAACCGGATCAAAATGACCAACTTTCTGATAATGATAAAATTGAAAATATTGTTACTTATTAGTTGATTAAATATGGTAAAATATTGTAGATAAAAAAATGTAGTTCATAATGTAAAATTGTTCAATAACTTTAAATACAATATAATATATGGGGGACGAGGAATATAAATAGGAGGACAATAAATATTATTTACACAATGTAGGTAAATGGTCATTTTGTATTAAAATGAATACAATTGTTTGACACTCCACAATATTTTTTTTTTTACACAAAATAGTTATGATAATGTGGAAGTTTTTCACGATATAAATGTCCATATGGTAAAAATAATATGTTCATCACTATTTCAGAATACTAAAACTATTATTAATAATTAATAACCAATACAAATGATTATTTTTTTTCTACATATTACTAAAACTTATTTTTATTTATTTTTGTCTAGAAAATTAATTTTCATATCAACAGATTATTACATTACTTAAAAACTTATACTACTTATAAATACGTGTATTTTTGTATGTATTTTAATAACTATTTCTTTGTATAGTTAAAAATTAATTATAATAATAATAATTTAAATTATAATTTTTTTTAACTACTAAAGTTCATCTGCTGTTACATAACAGGTTTTTTTAAAGCATGCACATTTTATGGTTTGGCATGGAGTTTTTAATTTGTATGTGAAGATTTAATAAAACAAAAATTCTTGCCTATCCAAAATTGCAGAAACCTTCGTCTGTTAGACAGTTCATTATCTACATTCTACAATAACGACCTGATTGGTAGCAGAACTACAATTCTACCATGCAATCTATCATGGTTGGAAAACAGATAAAAACAGGCTCTTCTAACGACTTTCAAGAATAACATTCAGGAAGGTACCACAATTTATTCAGATTGTTGGTGTTGTGCTTATAATGTCCATGGTAAAAATATTACTTAGTAAAACACCTTGTTTAAAAATATTTATAACATTGATTATAATAATATTTTAAAAAAATAAACAATTCTTTTGTTATTACTGTTGTCAGATACGGAAAGGGTATTTACAACATTGATTATATTATAATAATATTTAAAAATGTCAACAAACAAAAAAACAGATAATTTACCCAAGCCTAATTTAAATGTTTAAAAAATATTTTATAAATATATTATTCTAATTTATAAATTTTTTTCAATACTTCTTTCATTATTGTTGTACTCCTCACTTATTTTTTAAAATTTTCCTTGCATATTAACATACATTTTTTTTTGCCGAAGGTTATATCTCTTTGCCCAATTTTGACTTCATCGACTCTCAATTCTAATCACATCTTTTCTATGAGTAACTGTATACTTGAATGTGAACGATTTACTAATTAAGAAAATCTATGATTCCATTCTTTAGTTTGGTTGTTAGTGCGTTGGCCATTGTTTAACGTAACTTCGTGAACATTCCAAACTGAAGGAGGAAATGCAGCAGGGATTCTTCTAATATGTTACTTCTAGCATTATTATTTATAATTCTCCCCTCTAAGGTAAGTTACATCAAAATACTCCATCAACTCATTAGCTTCTTGTGACATAATTGATTATAAATAAATTAACCCTCTTGATATGTAATTTATTGGTAAAAATACCAACCCATCTAGCATTCAATAAAATGTACTAAAAAAATTGGTTTTCCCTATAATGCTTCTCAAGACCTAATGATTGGATTAAAAATTATTCTTGGTTTTGGAGATTTTCACTGGGGACATTTTTGTATAAAACCGATTATATAACACTACATTATTTAGAGCATCTGACTTTGATCACTGCTATAGTAAATCATACTTATAATTTTATGGATCTAACCAAACTTTCTTATTCTGCGTCAGGTTTACAACTTCAAATGTAATAAAGTAACTTCCCACTTTTTTAAAACAGTCACCATTCACCAACATACTTAACCTTAACCACCCTATGTTTAGTACCTAATTTGTATACATTTCTATTATTATTTATATTACATATAATATTATTCATTGGGCCACTTTCGCTTTCAAAACGTCTATATATTAAGTTAAAATTAGTTTGAGCAATATAATATGAGACAAATATAAGCCTTTGTATTAGTTAATAATACGCAGTTGTGGTATTCTACTATACTACTATAGTGATACTAACATACTTACGCAATATGGGTATCTATATTGTAAAGACATTTCTACAATGTCTAAAAATCCATTTTAAGAAAATATTATCAATTTATTTAAAAAATGTATATTAAGAGAACAAAATGACTATTCGTTTATTGTAATTGATAAGATTTATTACCCATATTGTGTAAAAATGAAAAATTCATGAAAAACGATTTCATTAAGAGGATGCAGTACATACATTTTATAAAGGTATTCTTTTTTAAATAATTTCTAAAATAATTTTATAGCAAAATTACAAAAGTAATATTTTATAATCTTATCAGATCCATAATCAAAATAATCAATCATGCACTATCTAAATAAGAGTAGGAATTTAAGAAAAGTTTTCTACAAAGTATACCAGTTCATTATAATGAATTAAGTTAATGAAATATTTTTAATTTACCATTAAGTGTTCTTCTAGATCCTTGCGATCATAAGTTATACCACTTGGAGTGATAACAGGATCTCGTAGAATATCATAACTTATGTTTCCACACAAATAGTCTGGTACTTCACGTTTCTAATTAAAAAATGTTTAATTCAACAAAATTATATTACATTATGCATTATGTGCATAAAATATATTACCTTCCGTCTGTCGTCATTCTTAGAAAATATAGTATGCAGTTCAGCAGCATATTTCTCCTAAAAATGAAATACCGTATAATTTTCACAATTTATTTTTAAGTTCCACTTACACTTTGATTTTTAATTTCCATAACACCGTTATCGTAATCTTCAATTTCGGTTTCATTATCTGATGGTTTTTTAATTTCATTGACTTTACGAGCCATATCATCATCCATAAGTTTTCTCAGGTACGACTAATTTAATAAAATATAATTAATTAATGTTAAATAATACATTTAGGAGTCAATTTTATTTACCAAAAGTTCTATTTCTTGATTCTGTCTCACTTCTTCTTGTTTCTCCCATTTCAGTCTACGAGCTCTTCTAAGTTGGCTTGTAATGTCATCACCATAGTTGACTTTTTTTTCTTTTGTTAAATTATGTGCTAACAATAAAAAGTGTACAAGTTATTCAAATAAATACCTAGTAAAAATATTAACATGTAAATGTCTTGCCTCTTTGTAATTGTTTTATGGCTTCATCATAACTTCCCAACTCAATAAGTGCAATACCCAAGAAAAAACAACCTTTTATGAAACTGAAGTCCATTTCCAAAGCACGTCGACAATCTGTACATGCCTTGTCCCATTGTTTTAATTTCAAGAAACATAAAGCTCTATTGGTGAAGTATATAGGAACAACAGGATTTTTTATCTGTATAGGAAAAATATTTAATTACTAATTATAAAATTGATATTAATCAAAACAAAAATTTTAATGTATTGATTTTACTTACAATTGCTTTGTTGTAGCATTCAATAGCCTTTTCATACTGTTTGTAACTGAACAAGCGATTACCTTCTTCCTTAAGATCCTTATCAGTTTGGTTGTTAGTAGTGTGTTTATTAGACGTATTGAATTTAAACATTTTGGAAAGGAAACTGCAATAACAACTGGAAACAATATTAGTTATTATTACAAAATTAATGCTTAAGTATTAGGTTAAATGATTATAAATATTAATAAATCATTTCATTTTGATCATATGTGCACATATTGTTAATAAGTAGCCTCTCCGAGAAATCCAAATGCTTGTAAATGACGAAACAACATTTATATATATTGACTGATAAAATATTAATTTAGTATCACAAAGCAACCAACTGGAATTAAAAATGTACAGATCCATGACTTACATGGTGTTCAAGCAATAAGTAGCCTCCGGTGATGGTTCGTAGATGATATAATTCAGTGACAAATCATATGATTAAAATCATTTTGCAAACATTCTTTGAACCAAAAAAAAATAAGAATCACTCATATTTGTTTGACATTAAATAGCTCAGCCATATAATTTATAAATAATGGGTTCTATAGAATAGAACTAATCTGAGCTATATAATAATATTATCTATTAGCCACTTGCGCCATAAAGAATTATTATTGAATAGAACTTAAATACAAAATAGTAATCAACACAGTTCACGATTTAAGATAGCAGGGACATAATTTCATAATAATCTCGATAGAGCGCTCTGGCAGTTAGCTAAACAGCTGTTCTACCAACACGATTAAAGATATTATACAGGTTGGGAATCGGCTCATGTAAGCAATTGCAAAATTTGTAAATCTGAACAAATCAACTGTTCCCACTAGTGATACTATTGTGTTCAATAATATTATCATTGATTTTACCACGTTTTTCATGACGAATTATGAATCATTTTTGGAACAAATGCAGTCTAGACTGTCTAGTGAGGGGAGGGTCCAGAGATGCTGTGGCCAGTGAGGCGGGCTAAGTCATAATTTTCAGAAAACTTTCGATATTATAATAGCCTTTTTTTAAAATTTTTTTAACAGTATACAATTTTTAGAAATAGGTACGGGCTTGGGAAGGAAATCACTGATGTATAGAATAAATACATAAACAAATATATGATTATAATTTATAATATGATTAATCTATAGACCTTATACTCAGTATACGGTCTATTGATAAATCATAATATGTAAAATTGTGTTTTTAAATAATAATTTATTATGTTGCATTCAGTACTTACTATACTACACCATAATAGGTAACTAAAATCGTTATTTCTCGTTAAAATAACTAATTTTGTTAACACTTTGAATTGGGATTTGTAGACATAACAAATGTTCTACAAATGTATTTTTGGTATTTTTAGACAGCTGTAAGATTAATTTATGAGAATAATTCTTGTATTAAATTGTTACCATTTACAAAATAGAGTTAGAAAAAAAATCTATTTACAATAATTAATATTAGTACTTATTTAAAAAGTACTTAGGTAGTTAGGTTAGATCCATTATTTTAATTTATTTGCTAATAATAATTAAGATTTTGGTATTAGCAGGAATCGTGTTCCTCTCACAAATTTTTTTTTTACTACCTATTCTTAAGTCTTATTTCAATTTACATTTATCCCCAAGTGACGTCTGAATAATAATATAATCATAATAATATAATTATTTATATATATATATATATTTTTTTTTTGAATAATTATTCAATGATGAATTCAATAGTTATGACATTATAAATTAGAATTTACTGCAATTTATACGGCTTCTACTACACCATACTTTATATTTTATTTTGTTTTTAATTTTTAAAATGCATTTGCCATCTTGCGCTGTTGACCCTATATCCAGGGGTCGGGAACCTGCGGCTCTTGAGAAAATTCATCAATACATCGAGATCCGTAAAATATAAATTATAATTTATACCTGCATTATTATAGTGATAATAATTAATATTTCGAACTTTCTTTATAAGGATTTTCAGGTCAAAAATCTCTTCCTTACGAAAAAGTTCCCGACCCCTGCCCCATATGCTGTTGCTGTACTGCTGTAGTAATAGTATAATAAAATTGATTGTTCAATTAAATTACTTTCACGATTTCAATCATAAAAGATTTATGAAGTATATAATATAATATACATCCGCATATGTATGAATTATAAATGCTTAATAGTATAATTATGAGCTATATAAAATATATAACGATTCGTTGTTAAATATATTACTTATATTTTTGGGAAAAAGTAAAAAAAAAAATGAATACCTAATTCCTATTTCATGTGACATGGGTTAATCTAGCAACTTAGGTATACGACAACATTTTTAATCAAAATCCGCTTCTGAAAACGTCCAAAAAAGAGTGCGTTTATAAATGTTTTGATAACAACCAATTTATATTAAAGTGTATTATTATATGTTAAAATAAAAAAATAATAATTATACTATAATATATTGTAATATAATACTTGTAAAATATTTAATACCTATCTAGAATATAAACTACGCTGAAATATCTGTAGATATTAATAAATATGAGGCATTCATTACATGGTTTGCTCTGAATTCTGAAAATATAAATCTTGTTCCGTATTTTTCTTTTAAATAACATTTCTTTCAAATACTATCCCTCGAGAAGTCGAGAATATTTTCCTGTAAATAAGTGTCCTATCCCATCCAGTCCTGAACTAATATTTCTATGCTTTACTTTCTTGATTAATACTTCAGATTAATATGGATATGGATCTACGTGTATAATATACTTAAAAATCCCGATTTATACAGTCCTGATCGATATTTTCCTAATTTATATTTTATGCCGTTCCTGAAAAATACGGTTCCGCGTCATTATTTTCCTTAGTTAATACTGCTCAGAAAAATATCATTCCAAAAATATATTATAAATCCTTGAAAACACTATCTTTTTATATATTATTATATCATTCTCTTGATATACCATCTTATAAAAATAACAATTCCAAATTATTTTTTCCTGTTTCATATTTTCCCGATTTATAAAGCTACCACATAAATCATAATAATTGTTATCACTTGTTGTCTTGTTGTACATTGATTGATAACACTCATCACTAAACAGGTAATTTCTTATCTATATGTCTGTGGTCACATTGTCATTTGTCTAAATTGTCACAACTCCCAACACTACAACTACTGAACTACAGTATTTATGTCTATGAGTCCCAAACTCACTAACACCTGAACGTTTTATTTCAAATTTTGTTCAATCATTATTATTTTAAAACCGCTAGTAAATAATTATTCAACTATCGAATTGTGGAGTGCAGTAGCAGTGTGGATTACAAACTATACAATTTGTATTACAATGGACGTTAACAAGTAAACCAAAACTCAAAGAACCTAAATGTAGTTTACCGAAACCATTTAAAATGTCAAACATTTTATGTCCCTATACACCTCTCACGTCATCCAGTATTTTATTATTGGAATCCCAGTATCCCACAACACATTTATTAATTGTTTTTAATTTTACTGACTGTAAATATTGTCTTAATTATTTATTTTTAATATATAAATACCTACATATTTCATTGAATATCTAAATTTATTCTTAATAAAATAGTTTATTTAATTCCTTATTATTTTGTTATTTCAATAGGGTTTTTTTAGGTTCACAACACAAACTGATCAGTGAAAGCAACTTAAAATGTAACATAGATGATGTCAACCAACTAATATCCATCAAAAAACATATATTAGAACAACCACGTATTGAAAAATGGTACATTTAAACAAAATTTAAATATAGTGGGTAAAGTGTCAGTTATCTCTACTTGTTGAGAACAAGGGGGTGTAAATAGTCAAGCAATTATTAAAAATAAGTATATCATACGAATCTTAAATACCTATCTATGTAAATAGTAAATGTTAATCTTATATATCTTTCTTGTTCTAGTTGTATCATGTTCAAAAATGTTTTTTTTTTTAAGTTCTATAGAATTACATAACATTTTTCCGTTGGTAATATTTAACAAGGATCTATTTTTTTTTTAATATTTTAATTTTTGTCTTAAAATTTGAATTTTTCACAATATTGAAAAATTTGTTAACAATATTTACAATTATAACATTATTTTTAATGAATGAATATTAATTATTTATGATAATCCATATACATAATATATTTTACATACAAAGCGGAGGAGCTAAATCCCATTTTCAGGCTCCATGCATGAATACTAATAAACCTTATACATTATTTTATGTAGAATTTAATTGGTGTAAAAAATGATCTATCCCTATTGTTGTGTTAATATTTATTATTTCATATTGTTGTATAGTGCATCACTAGCTGAAGCTGAGTGGAATGACAATTTGAAATTAGCAAAACTAACAAAAGTTACAAAAAATCTTACCAAAAATTTTTCTCATTCTTTGAATAAGTCATTGTATTTATACCCAGAAGAATGTTTGTGTTTGCTAGAAATGGTAATTATTTATTTAATGTTTATTAATTAAAGTACTCATTATTTCAATCAAATGATAAATTAGCAGTGGAAAAACATTATAATTATTCTACTCTTCAGTCTTCACAAACTTAAGGAGTTTATGTTTAAAATAGATACACTTTTTAAATTTGATTTGTGCTTAACTCATTTGATCAAAATATTTTACTCGACTTACGTGAACAATTCTGTTAATCATTATAATATTTTAAATGTATAAATTTAAATTAAATTCACTTATTTATCAGTATATTATATTCTTCTCAAAAAATTTCTATTAAAATTTAGCATAATTTTTATCAGATTTTTAAATAATAGTATTATAATAATACTTATTCTATACTTTCGTTTTTGAATGAACAATCAATTTGGTTTGATAATTTATGAATGGTATGAAACATTTTCTAAATATATTCTATCCACTTTAAAGTGGAACCTTGTTGGCGACCAGTTTTTGTCAGATAACAATCTTTTGTCACTCCCACTGAGTCGACAATCTACATACTTTACGTTTAATAAATCCATGCCGTTTCACATGAGTCAGCTGTAAAGGTTCCTTCTAAATATGAATCAAGTTTAGGTACTGTAGTAATTTGTTATTAAATTTAAATTAGTAAATATCTCAATGTTAACAATAATACAAAATATTGCTGTATGTTAAATTTTTTTTTCAGAAATGTTTGTTACTTAAATGGAATGGAAAAAAACTGTCGATTAAAAATGCATTTTCTTTATTATTGGCTGCAGGAAGTGGTTGTACATTTGAACAATGTAGAACCTATGGTTATTTGGTTAAGTTAGGATTTCGGGTCTTTAAACATGACAACAAGTTAAAAAATAATACATATGATTCCAAAGATATATTAAAACTTCCAGACGTGTCAACTAAAAGAAAAAAAAAGAATACAAATTATAGATCCATACAGACTGAAAATTATCCTAAAGTTATCAAAAAAATACTTTCTCCTAAACTCAAAACTCATAGTGAGATAATATTTACTCCACAATCACACTATCTGCCACAAAACGTACAACCGTTTTATGATGTTTATTCATATAATCTAGCTGTAATTTCTGGCAGTACTAAAATAGTTGATTTTAAGAATTTTGAAGAAAAAACCGGTTTAGAAAATTTGAAAAAAGAAAGCATAGTGTACGAATTACAGCCTATTGGAATAAATCCTGAATACGAACAAAATATTCCCCAAACTATAATGTCCAATGAAAAAAATATTTATGAGCCTAGAGGTAAAAAATTGAAATTAGCAGTAAGTGAAAAAGATCATTCAGTTAAAACTTTGAATATGACAACTTCAACTTCAATGAATGATACAAATTTGAGCGCATTTAGTAGTATAAAAAATTTGACCACGATTCAAGACCGTGAAGATTCAAAAACTAACAAAATTATGGAAATTAATTCTTCAGTCAGCTTGAGTACTGGAAATAACTTTTCTGTATCTAATAACAAAATTAGTTTTACTGATAAATTGCTTGTTGGTAAAAACGATGAAAATAATCAAAATATTAATGATGAATTAGCAACACAAAATGTAAATTTGAGCAGAGATAAAAAAAATGAATCTAACAGCAAACTACTAGAATCTACACTATCTGATGCTATTCCCGAAGAAGAACTGCTGAACATGCATTTAAACGTACCAAGTAATACTATTTAATTATTAAATTAATAATATTCTCTTGATATTTTTAGGAAGTGTTAGAATGTTAAAAAGCAAATTGCCATTCAGCAGAGTTAACTTTGTGTGCTTAAATATTACTGTAAATTGACCTACCATTAAATTTAAATGTAAGAATATTATCTGTTATCTAGTCAGTTTTTTTATGTTTTGTTTTTTAAGAAATTCATAATTATGTCAATTATTACAATTTAAATATGCCCTTAAGAGGACGCCACACCCGCGTGTGCTGTCTCCGTCTTACAAATGTACAACATAGCAAAAACTGTTTAACGCGGGACAACTTTTCTCGCACCATATTTGTTGTAGAATTACCAAATTTTCACAACACGTAAAGAAGAACTTTATCTGTGCAACAGCGTGCTATTTTTTTTAATTACACTTTCCAATCATTTTTTATAAGCAAATGAAAAAAACAAAAAAACAAAATGTTTAGAAGCAAATAACTTTTATTGTATTTATTTTATCTGAAATATAGGCACACAGTTGCATAGATAATTTTCTACTCGATATGCTCAGAAATTTTGGAGCCACTACTACAAACATGGAAAGATAAAAGTTGTCCCGCGCAAAACAGTTTTTGCTATGTTGTACCTATGTAAGACGGAGACAACACATGCGGGTGTGGCGTCCTTTTAACTGAAAATAACAAAAATGACCAAAGAAAGAACACAGATACTATTCTTACCTTTAAATTAAATAATAGGTAAATTTACTGTAATACTTAAATCAGCAATACAATATGAATTCTGCTGAACTCAAATTTGCTATATTGTATTTTTATGAAACAAATTCAGCACATGCAGGCATTATTAATTATCGCATAAGCAACTAACAAAGAAAATTGTTAATGTTTAAATATCACAATCCTTATTACTATCTATCTATCCTTACTTTACTACTTTTTGAGTGTTTTATATTGTTTTAAAAATATGTCTTGTCTTTCAATTTAGGTCACATTAGGCAGAAATTATTGGCGATAAAACCATTAACTCATCATAAAGAGTCAACAAAAAGTACCAATAATAAGCACTATGTACATTATGATGTTTACTATCCAGATAACGATGTTCCAAAAACATTAAGACCTGCACCAGACTTTAGAGTTATTGTTTTCGAGTATGATATTACATTATTTCCTAATAAAATGTTGTGTTTACAATGATTTTATTTTAATAATGATTACATTCGCATAATTTTATTTTAGAGATGATTTGGAACACTTTCCAAATATTTACGACATCAATATTTCAAATCCTAATGACAATATACCTACATTGTGGGCCATTGTAAATTCAAGTTCAGTTTCATTTTTCAGTGTGGATAGTATAATTCTACCGAAAACTGTAGACTGGGATAAAAAAGGTGATTGATTTGAATACAATTGTTTCATAATTTTTCTTATTATATTATTAACATTTTTATGTTTATCATAGATAATGTTATTTTGTACTCATAAATTGTGTAGTTGTACCATTTTTGATATAAATGAGTTAGTAATTTAAGTACCAAGGCTGTGTTTCGATACTTTACATTTCTTATTATTTATTTTGTTAGGGTATTTAAAACTAATAAATATTTTTTTATATAGGTAATATATAATAATATATGGTATAAAATTATTTTTTATTTATTCTTTTCTAATATTTGTTACATCCTACATACATTAAAAATATAATATCACAATTTTAAATTAGCAACAAAAAGTCTGAAAATACAAAATATTCTATTGCATTTTCATTTGTAATTTTATAATATATTATACAGCCATACAGGTATATATATGTACATCCATATCCATTTATATGTTTGATAACTATTCCTTATATTAACCTACAGTTTACAAATATTACAGTTCCACATACAAATTTAAAATTATGATCAATATAAACGTAACTTCAAAAGTTAATAAAAACAAATATAAACCTTTTTGGCTTTTGAAGATATTTAAAATAATTTTTAAAAAAATAGCCAATACAAAGTACAAACATTGATTACTCTAAAGCAATAATAATAATAATAATTTAAAATAAGTAATGTTTTCTGAAACAATGACCTATGCAATTAAAAAAAAAAAAAATTATAATATTTTTTCTTAGATATTTTTAACTTACTTTATATTGATCATTATTTTGAATAATAACTGATAAGTATGAGGAATAGCAGTGAAATATAATATGTTAATATTGTATAAGGAAATGAATTACATTTTTAAATTGTTTAAATAAATATTAATTATAGGCACATACTTACGTATCTAATATATTGTAAAATTAATTATTAATATAATTATATATTTCGATTTAATAGAATATCTTATATTTTCAGACTTTTTGTCTGATAGTAAAAATATGTTCAGACTTTTTACAAAAGGGTCAAAAATGAGTCTGGACTTTTTGATTGATTACTAGATATCATTGATTTTATAATATACTTTAAAATTTAAATATAGTATGTATAGAATTCATTCTAAAATAAATGATAGGACAAACTCCCATACCTGGATAGTGATTTAGATAATGACAATTATGATTTATGACCTATATTGTGACAACTTCAAACCATGTGAGACATGTAAAAACTGTTTCATATGCTGTTATAATGTAAATATTATGTCATATTATGAGTATAAGCTATTGCTTATCAACTTAAACTGACACTACCTTTAAGGCTGTAACACTAGGAAATTAGAAAAAATCATCTTCAAAATTCAAATATTTAAAAAAATTATTGCATAAAGCAATGACCAATGAATATTTACAACCTTTTATGTTGATAAATATGATAATATAGCAATTAAACATAACATGTCATAATATTGGATAATGACATTACTATAAATTCAATTGACAAAGAATCTAGTTATCTAATTTATTAATGTACATTTTAATATTCATAGTTTCATCCTTTGTTTTAATTCTTAACTATTATTTCTATATATTTGTATTATTATTATAATTGTACATATTTGATATTTCATTATTTATTATACGCATATATTTTTTTGCAAAAGATTTAGGTCACCTTTTGTTAAATTGTCATACATTTATTTGTTTGTAGAACATGAATTGAAAGCAAAGTAATTTAAACGTTGTATTATTATAGACATTTTTTTATTTTAAATGACTAGGTACTAGGAAAACAAATTTTCAGATTGGTAGCCTAGATACATTTTTTTCCCGGCCTGAAATTCCTTACCCCTGGCACCTACATTAATTATTTATTGTGACCAATATCAGTTATTTGTAAAATAACCTACAATAAAGTTTACTAAATTAAGGTCTGTAAATTTAAATGTGTTATGTCTTCTGTGTATAATATACAACATAGACGTATCGAGGGGGTTTCATGGGTCTGGACTCCCCCCCCAATTTTTCTGTACTTCCATATTAAATTACGATCGTTAGAATTTAAATCAAAATAAAATAAAATACTTTCAGAATTCTCGTATTGGCTTTGCATTGTAATTTGAAATATATATATGTTACCGTTGATATGAGTAATTCAGTCATTATATATAATGCCTAGGTATTTTATAAAATTGAATAGAATTACCAAAATGACCAGGCGAATTATATAATACACATATTCCCTAGTTGTTATATATAATGCCCAATCATATTAAGGTCATAATATTATGTTATAGGTTAAATTAGAAATATCCACAGATATTAATGAAGATAACCGATTAGTACGGTTAACAACGTATACATGTAAAGTATTCAGTGTACAACTACAGTAAACTATTCAATTCTATTCAATTAATATCATTATTTAATAATATATAATAAAATATTAATAATAATACAATATTTCATAATGGAATGGTTTTATGCAGAATTAAATGTACAAAAGGCAAATATACTGTCATGAAATTATCTCAACTATTTTAATACCTTGCCTAAAGTTATGTAGGTACTCTATAAAATGTCTAGGAAATATATATATTGCTTAGGCATTTTATACTAAAATTATTTTTTAAAGTAATTTGCCTAAAATCAATCGGTATTTTATAAAATACCTAGGCATTATAAGTAAAAACTGAATTACACATATTACTGGTAACATATATATCACCAGGCGGCAGGCAGCAATGTCTTTCATAGTTTCATGTGATATTAATCATTCATGAGTATTGAGTACGCGACAACACAAGTTTTGTCATTTAAAATATAACTACATACAAACATATTTGTTGTTATTTTAATTGTAATCGGCTTTGTTTGTATTATCTAATTGTCACGAAGTGAGGAGCATTAGATAAGTTTTTCAAACCACCGTTAAAAAATCCAAGGTTAGTCCATGACTCGAAACTTTTACATTTAACGGGACTTGCTTTTCTATCAGTACATTAGGGAAGTGTTAATCTCAACAGATGAAATATTGGCCAATTTTTTAACTTACACTATTAATTATGTGTTAAAAATATAATTTAGGGTTATTAGATATTAAACATTGAAGAAAACGTCATGGTGGGTAGGAACTATCGTAAAAAACCCACTTGCGAGCAGTCATAAAGATAATGTTCTTGATTTCTTACCGTGCACGGACTAAGATAGAATTTAGAAATATAGAATGAACAGGAAACGATTCGTTTCAAGCGAACTACCTGGCGGGTGACAGCTGGGAGCCGGGGGGGATTGATCAATCCACCTTGATTCTTACCCTAATAATGATCGAATCACTCTAATTTTTAAAAGTGTTCTGGTTTGATACTCACTTATAAGATGGAGACGAAAATGCGTGTGTAACGCCCTCTTAAAATTTAAATAATGTTTAAAAGAGATCAAATCTTTTCCAAGTAAAGTAAAATATAAATTATTAAATTACAATGAACAGGATAAGAATATAAGATATTATTAAGTTTATAAGGTGTCTTGGAAAAAAGATTAGGAATTGTTCGAATAAAAAACCGTTAGCGGGAAAATAAATATCCACGGAATATGGAGTAGAATCATATTTATTGTTTACTCCATGATTACAACTTACTGTTAAGCGCACATATTTTATAAGCTGCCGAACTGCCGCGGCACATACAATTACTGTAGAGACCCGAGACCGTAATACCGCACTACCGCCGAAGAATAAGATGATAACGAATTTCATATTTTTAAATTAGTATATTTTATATTTTATTTTTATTTATTATTATTAAGACTTGAACTCTTGTATAGTTTTATATATATTTTGTGGTTTAAACTTTTATTATCGAGTTCCAAGACGTTAAGCTATTAGTTTTTATTCCTGTGCACCTACAGAAACACTGAAAATGAGTAAAACAATAGTTTATGACACTTTGGTAAGTAGGACTTATATAACTTACTACGTACTCAATATTCGTATATTATCCTGCCTGTTATTTTTGTAACATATCTCAACTGTGAGAACATTATTAAAATTGTTTGTTTTAAACCAAAATCGTTTACTTTATAGGTTCCTATTTTTTATTCTTTTTACCTATTTTTCTATTTATATATTTTCAGTCTATTCCCGATCCATCATTTATTGATGATGAAGTAAGGATGTTTGGTTCATGGTTTGGAATGAGTAATATTTGTATATTCCCAACCAAAATGTGTGGACCATCCGACAATCAACACCCATCCGGTGATGATAAAACTGAAAGGAACATTTTACATATGAAACATAAGACAATGCTATTTGATCCTAAAGTAAGACAGCTAGTAAATGAGTCAAGCGGCGTATTCCAAGAATTACAAGCCAATGTGGATGACCCAACCAAGTCCACTGATGCTTTGTACTATAGTAGAAAATACAGGTGATTTGATCGAATTCTACTAATTTGTTAAATACTGCTTTTAATTTAGCTTAATCTTTATAAATTATTTATTGTCACCAATAATATATTTTATGTTACCAATTGAACATAAAAAAAATGGGTACTGCATACATTTAGTTAATAAAATAAATAATCACGCTATACTATTCATTTTAAGTCTACATGATACAAATATAAATGTTGCTATTTAAATAAGATAATTTATTTAGATAATTCAATTGTCTTTTTATTATCACGTGTACTTACTAGTTGTTTTAACTAATTGGATTTCTAGAACATTTAATTGAGAACTAATTTATTAATACTTAACTTACAGCATAATTTGTGATTTATTTAAAATATAAATTATAGGGCAATCTTGTCAACTTGTATCTTAGCAATTGACCGAAACAACTTGGACAAATCAAATGAGACATATAACCAATACAAAATGTTGCTGCACAATCTTCAACTCATATGGCATTTGTGTGAAGTACTTTACCTTGTGACTGTTCCTGGTAATATATTTGCATTTTATTTTTCAATTTTTAATATTTGGTACCTTAATTGTTTTAGTTTTACATTTACATACACACTTCTATCTACTTATTACTATTATTGTAAAATCATGTATTGTATATATTGTATAAATATTGTTAATTTGTTTGTTTTTTGTTATTTAGGTGATACTATTTTGAACAATCTTTTAGATTGGATTAAGATTCATTATGAAAATGCTGAAAACCAAGCATCAGTGATTACAGAGAATAAAATTGCTTACTTAACTGATGAACATGTAGAAGAGAAATTTACTTTTTATTGGGATACTGTTATTGAACTAGTATTACAAGGAAACATTGACATGGCCAGAATGTTATTGTCCAACCACTCACAAAGTGACACTGAACCATTTCTTCATGCAATAAAAATATTTAAATCTATGCCTACCTATAGTGTAAGTTTTATATTTTTTACTTTATATATATAATCACATTTAATAAATTCTGGATTCTTTATATTATTTACAATTAAAAATAAATATTTTCGAGTTATGGACAATAAATTTAATTTAGTTGTATAGTGATGGCAGGAATAAATATTTATTTGTTTTTATAATTATATATTTGAAACTTGGTTATTTTACCAGACACCATTTTTTGAGTTATTTGTTTTTTTTCTTTAAAATAATCGTGATGTCAGAAATTGGTAGGGCTTGGTTTTGATGTTATGGCTTAATGGGTTTTGCTATTCTATGATTTGTATGTATTAGCTCAACGCTATATGACGCTTTTAATTGTCTTTATGCTATACTAAGCTATAATAACTATTTTTGTAATTATTTTCGGGTAGAAAAAATTCTACATATGTCTCGTAACCTTACCAATTACAGTATCTTAGCATTGTAAACAGTGGCTTGGGGCTCCTTAAGCTTGCCGGATCCAGTCGCCAATATTCCAAAAAAAAGGTGTTTGGTAAAGTAACAAAATACCATATATTTTAATGTAAAATAATAATGTATTTAAATACTTAATATATAATAAACCATTTTCCAAAGAATATTTTTTAGAAAAATGATATATATAATATTTTCACATGCATTTTATTTAAAAACTTAAAAATATGTGGTTAGGTATTATAATTATAGATATCTTTAATAATAATAATTACTGAATAAATTTGGGTAGCAATTTTAACACCTACTGATTAGATAAAATAATAATATTCTTAATTCTTAAGAGGACGCCATAGGTGTTGTCTCCACCATACTAAAGCATAAAATATTAAGATATAAGTCCAGCAGTTCCAATTTTGTGTTTTTAGATTAAATATTAATATTTTTACTTATTATAAAATTTGAAGGTAAGATTATTTGGTCAATCAACTCTAATGTTTAAACTAACAACACAAAATTGGAATTGCTGGACCGGGATGCATATTTTGATATATTATGTGTTAGTATGTTAGAAACAACATAAACGGGTACAGCATCCTTTTAAACTCAAGCATTTTAATTGTAAGTCAACGCTATTACAACACTTTAGTCCATTACAACTATATTAATTAGGGATGGGCCGATACCACTTATTACTGATATTCCGATATATGCTGCCGATATAAAACCGATACCCGATAATATATGGAAATGTTAAAACAACATTTTTGACAAAAAAAACATGAGCCGATACCATCAGCCGATATATAATAAAACTGATACCCGATAAGTTATAACACCAATAATATTACCCAGAAAAGTGAAAACATTGATTATTATAAAATAATCTATAGTATTTGATTATTGATAACCTAACCTGTGCATTTGTGAATTATGATACTATCAATACTATGCTGATCGATAGGTTTTTTTTTTTTGTATCAGTTGAAATATCGGTTTTGAAAAAAAACCGATATCACTGATATCGGCCAATATCTAGTATCGGTTCTAGTATCGGCCCATCCCTAATATTAATAATCAAACATTAATTTTTAGGTATATGGTGGTCTGCCAATAGCAGAATATACATCAAGATTCAAGGGCTGGCAATCAAGTGCAAAATCCAAATTAGAATGTGGTATATTCTTATCCGATTCAAATCTCAACAATGTTATGAAGGTATTTAGTTCTATATTATTTATATTAATATGTTTGTTTTAATGGTTTGCCATTAAAATTAATTTTCAGATTATCTGTGGAGACCCAGATTCTACTAGTTTGATCCGCAAGCACTGTTCCACATGGTTTCAATTTCTAGTAGCTCAACTTATATATACAGATCCAACTGTAAAGAAACATAGTTTAAGCTTATATGCTCATCGTAGTGTTGCTAAATATTATGAAGAATCAGAGTATAATCATATGGATACACTTGCTTTAGATTTGTTTGACGGAGATCTAGAAGGGGTATGAATTTAAATTACTCCTTTTACTAGAATAATCAATAATAATTTCAGGCACTAATCATAGAATCTAATCAAATATCTAACATTTTGAGTAATTTTGATACTTTTTATAGTCATGCTAGGCTGCTAGGGTGAATATGTGGGGCACATCTATATTACTCTAATATGAAGTAAAAAACAGAACATGTTATATTAATGACTAGAGTTTAAATTTTGTAGGCATTTGCTTTTTTCTCTATCTATCTAATATAAAGCAATTTCCACTGTATAAATTTGGTGAATTCTGTATGTAAAAGAAATTATTACATACACAATGTTTAACTTTGCTTTTTTGGCTCAAAATTGTTTTTTAATAACTTTTTTACATAAAGTGCATATTTGAATTATCTGAAAGGTCAATATTTATTTTTGTATCGTAATGTTTTGAGTCAAAACTTAATACCATAACTATCAAATTACAAAATATTTTTTAATTTATTAGATTCTGAGCGGAGCAATGAATGTATTGGTATAACAATCATGTATTGTCATTTATTTTTTCTTGTCTGTTTTATATTTTCGGGTAGACAATTTACATAATTCAAGAATGGTTTCTGGTACTATATTTTCTGTACTTTTCTTAGTAATTAGGAAAAACAAGAATTTTTACCAAAAAAATTAGAATTTTGAAAAGACTATCAAATATATTTTTGATGTTTGGTTTTCTTTTAGGCACTAATAGTGTTGTTATATTTTAAATTCAGCCAAAAATGTTGAGTTAAATTACAATATTAAGACATTTGAAAAAACAAAACAAAAATACTTTTTATATTCATACAATATAATTAATTTCTAAAATTTTGAACTCATTTTAATCTTTAATTATTTTCTTTTAATTTCAGTTCGTTAAAAAATTGAAATCCTATCCTGATTCTGGATGGTCATCAACTCATTTGACTAATTTGTTACATCTGTGTGATAAAATTGAACCAGAGTTTGATATGTCCGAAGTAGTGTAAGATGAAAAATAACTCAATATCAAAAAAATAAAAATAATATACAAGTCTTACATTTTCAGAGAAAATACAAATCCAAACGAACAGTATCTCCTTGATTATGGAACATTTCTCATGACCCATCACTCATTGTGGCAAGCTGGTATCACTTACTTAGATAACTGCTCGGGTGTGGGTAAAGGACATCTATCAATGTTGTTGTCAAAGTTAGGAATAATATCAGATTTGAGATTGTCAAAAATTTTACATTATGCCACGGCCAGGCGCTTACATAATGTTGGTGCGTACATTTAAGAAGAAAACTATTTTACTTAGTTTAAAAGTATTGCTAATTAATAAAATACACAAAAAACTAAAATTATTGTTATTATTAGTTTCTAGTGTTTGTAAAGTGAGAGGAATGCTAAGCCTACAAAAGTCAAGAATTGGTGAAGCTCTGTGTTGGGCAATAAGAGGGCAAGACAGCGCTTTTGCCACTTATTTAGGTGATCTATTTTTGAAAGAGTATGTTAAAAGTGGATCCTTTGCTTGCCCAGATATACTGGATAATTTAGGATCGATTGTTGTCACTTGTGATCGTTTTATGTTCATTGGTAAGTACTAAATTGTATTACTATTTATATCTTCTAATTCTATTATATATATTTTTTCTAGTATCTTATCTTAGTATTTTTATTTTATCTTAAACAGAGTAAATTCCAATTTACGAGTCATGAAATAAAAAATCGGTTATTTAATTATTCATTAAAATGAATAATAAACAACATATCAATGTATCGTTAAAAATCTCCTATATTGAAAAAAATTAAAATTAACATTCTTGCATAAAAAACAAAAATAAATATTATAACTACTATTAAAATGAAACTGCTTCAAAATAGTCATGTTAAAAAACAAAACATTGAACATAAAAATTACCACGCTCAAGATGAGCAACCGCTCGCGCTCCGATTTCCTTTGAGCATAGCCAGGAGACCGACAGTCAGTGGCTCGTGCTGAGCATGGATCGCGATCATGTTTGAGCGGTTTGAATCTGCTCACTTTACCATCCACACTCAAATTCATTGTAAACAATTTAATGTGAGCATATTTGCTCACCCTGAATACTCTCAGGTGTTGACGCGCCTTAAACTCCTTCATATGAGGTATGGGAGGGTTTTTGAACATTGCATCTGAATGAAATAAACTTTAAAATATGGTTTCTAATAATTGAAAAATAGCAATTTTCATACTGTAGAACATACCTGAATTAATATTGATTGGATCATAGAAACTATTACCTTATATTCTACAACTACTTATTTGAAATCTATTTATATTAAATATTTTTTGTTTGTCTTATTTATCAATATTTATATATTTTGTTTTAGGAAAGTATATACAATTTCTTAAACTCGCTATAGGTAATAAACTCAACGAGGCTGCATTATTGTACATAGAACTTTTAAGATCTAATATTTGTCCAAAATAGTAAGGATTTTTTTTACATTACACAATATTTACTTTAAATTAATATTCAGCTGTCTTAATTACCAAGTACGGTTTTAGTTTTAGACTAACATTATTGATGGACGTTCTAATGTTCATTGACAACAGTACTGAGTGTTACTTTAATATTGCTGACATGTCTCTCATAACAATGCGCTTGGATGATGCCATTATGGAAAGTAACGAAGATGATGAATCCACGGATAAGTTTTTACTAAGCCAAGTGTTTAATATTCGTCAAGGTATTGTTAAGCTTGTGTCTATTAGTTTAATAACAAAAAAAATGATTGTGTAAATTTTGTATTAAGATTTGTATGTAAGTATTTATTATGTTTTAATGAAAATATTGATTTTTTGTTCATAAAAATACATAAGAAATGCAAAAATAAACCAGTTTTGTTTATTTAATTATCAAAATACATAAAATGCATTAATGTTTTCATTTCAATACATAATTGTATTCAGTCATATTGAAAGGAAAATTAACACTAATGATGAGTATTATTAAATTAATCATTATTAATATATATGTATGCTTAGAATATAATATTTAATATTTTGTCATACATGATTTATTACTAAATACAGACATCCTCTAATGATTAAGCACACACAGAAAAGTAATTGTAGTACTTAAAAGTGTTCACAATTTTTAAACCAATAATTTCTCAAAAGGTGTGATACTCAAATTAACTAGTAAGGCCAGGTTAACATGCAAGGTTTAATTAAAAATATTCAACTTATTTTATGTAGTGCTCAAATAATATCTGCAATAATACAAATTTGATGTGATCAAATTTTAAATAAATACTAACAAGAAAAGTACTTAAATCACAATATGGCAGAACACACATAGTCAATTAGCATACTCACATACCATGATTACTTACAACAGCTATACATATGCAAAGTATTAACAATATTACTTTTTTGTCTCTGTCTTACACATGTACGACATGGCAAATTTTCATTTCTATATTAAAGTGATGTCTTAATCCACAAATTATTAATTTAATCATTAATACACATAAGAATTTAATGATATTATTATTTTTAAGTAAGTTATGACCTTTTTGAAACAGTACATTTTAAAATGATCAGAACTTACTTTAAAATAATACTACCAAAAAAATCCTACTTGGGGACAGTCTTACCTTTACATTTTATAATAAGGAAATTCACTCTAATATCAATACTAACAGAACACTATTGAAACTAGTAAACAAAAATGTGCTATGTCGTATGAAGTTATGCATGGAAGATAACACATACATGTGCAACATCTAAGTCTAAGTTTTCTGTGTTAAATCATAATTGACTTTATTCTGATAAAACTAATTGAAAAACTTAGTCATACATTTTGTAAAGTAACATACATTTATTTAGTTTTTAATTCTAATGTTTATGTACAAAGAAATATGCCTATACTAATGTATAACATATTCTTTTAATAATATTAGGTGTAGGGACAATCATTTATTTATGTACAATGGCTTTGTGTCGATTAAGTGAACTTAATTGAGGATATGTCTTATTACATAATCTGCATTTGTATGGCCTTTCACCAGTATGATTTCTTCTATGAACTGCCAGAACAGTACAATTTATATAAGACTTGGGACAAAAGTCGCACTTAAACGGTTTTTCGACTAGATGAGTTAATTGATGTCTGTTCAAAGCTCGTGGATTTTTAAATGATTTGTCACACAATTTGCATGCATACTGCCTCAGCTTAGATTCTTCATGTGTAGTCTGGTGAACCTTGAGTTCTTTGGGGTCACTGTAGAATTTATTACAAATATCACATGTATGATTTGTTTTTTTATGCCTTTTTAGAGATACATTTGCCGGATACGTTTTTCCGCATAATTCACACACAAATGGTCTAGCACCTGTGTGTTGATTTAAGTGATTAGTATAGTTATGACGAGAAATAAAACTCTTTTTACATATGTTACACACATATGGTTTTAAGTCTTTATGAATTTTTTCATGTTCATATAAATAAGTACTTTGTGAGAATTTCTTATTACAAACTTTACATCTATATATTTTAATACTTTCTAAATGTGTTTTCAAATGATCTTTGACACCAGTTTTACTAGCAAACTTTTTGTGGCACTTGTCGCATTCAAAACTTTTATTATCATAATGTGTTTTCTTGTGTCTTTTCCATTCAGTCAATTGAGTAAACTGATCTCCGCAAATATCACATTTATATGGCTTTTCTCCTTTATGTACTCTCTTATGGCACTTAAAATCAAAAAACGTGCTACAACTTACATCACAGAGAGTACACTTGTATGGTTTTAAACCACTATGTCTTTTTAAATGTTGTACAAGGGATTTATGAATTGAAAATGACTTTCCACATTCAATACATTTGTATGGTTTGTATCCGGAATGACGATCCTGATGTTTCTTCAAAGAATTCAACGATTCAAATTCTTTACCACATATGTAGCATTTATGTTTTTCAAAGTCATGAGACAACATATGGATTTTGAGATAAGTTAAATTGAGAAACTTTTTTGAACACAAAAAACATTCAAATCTCTTGATATTTTGATGCGAAAATCTGTGGGCTTCTAAATTAAATCTGGCGTGAAAACGTTTATCACAAACATTACATTGGTATGGTCTCTCACCTTTATGTAACCGTTGATGAGCAGCTAAGTGATATGAATGTATATATGTTTTTAGACAAACATCACATTTGTATGGTCTGTTTTTTTCTTTATTACTTGGAGCACTTGGATATTTTCCAAAGCTCTTGAGTGTATAAAATCCATTGTAACATTCATCACATTCAAAATATATTGGTGTACCTGATTGGATGCTAACAGGATATTTACAAGAAATCTGATTACCAATGTACTTGCAACAGTTGGTACATTGATCTATATGAGGTTTAAGGTGTTCTATAATACTTGGACGATCATGAAAAAATGTACTACATTTAGCGCATTTATACTCTTCATCATTTTTATATTCTTTTTGATCAACTGAACTTACAGTGTATGATTCATCCAAACTAACATAATATTCACTATTTCCTGGAGCACAAGAATTAACTGCGTTTCCAATAGATAAATATGAATCAACACAATTTTTTGAATTGATGTCACAAGCTTTGGTTGATAAATTATTTTCAATATTGAGTTGTTCAATTTCTACTGAAAACTCTAGCATTATTTTGTTGATTGTTCTCTTTTGAATTGGAACACTGCCTTCAGAATGACTTGTCTTTAATCCGTCCAGCATAATAATGTTATTACTAAAAAAAAAAATTGATAGTAAAAAATGAAAAAACTAAAATTATCATTGTGCATACCTACCATAAATTACTATTACATTCACCAACATCATTACACCCTTGTTGAATAAATTGATTTTCAAGCAATTTTATATTATTATCTATATGAGATATCAAATGGTTTTTAAGATCATTCAATTCAAGGAACTGCTCATCGCAAGTAGTACATTTAAATTTCTTGATATTTGCATGAAGTGATTTGTGAACTTCTAAATTGTATTTGTCATGAAAACATTTATCACATATAATACACTGGTATTCATTTTCACCATTATGCATCTGTTCTTCAACAGTGACATGATGATTACTAACATTTTCTATTGGATGGACTCCATAATTTGGCATTTCTATTTCCATTTCGGTTTTAAATACATAACCGTTAATTACCGTCACATCTTTTTCAATTTTAATTATTTGATCATTCTTGTTTATACATTTTGTTTCTCTATCAAGAATACTGGAAACAAAATAATTTTAATAAGTAAATTATATGACTGATTAATAATAAATATTAACAATAAATTTGGATACCAAAAATTAATGTTGTCATTTTTATAATCGTCATTATTGTATCCAAAATCAATTAATTCTTCTTGTGTGCATTCATTGTTATCTTCCACCTCTTTTTTAATACAGACATCATATTTTACTAATTTTTGATCGTAATCAGTCTGAATTAAAATATTCTTGTTTTGTATATCTGTATGTTTCTCCATTATAATTTGATACTGAAACATACATAAAAATACTATATACATAGGTACCTTTTTTGTAACATTTAAAATAAAACTTCTTATCATAATATATCTTAATTTTGATGAGGAGTAAAGATTTTGTGGTTCTATAAGTGAACCAACTTTAACAAATACCCCGTCTCTAGTTTCTACCAAATGTCCAATTAAAGAAAAAAATTGGATAAGTGAGAATTTGAAATGTGGAAACGTAAAGATTAAGTATCATATAAATGTGCAGCTGTCAAAAAAAAAAATTCTTGCTTTGGCATAACCTAATACCTCATGGACTTAATGATGATTTAATAAAATCTGTGGTTGATAAAATGTTGGTGTCTTAGAATTACCTAAGTAATTTATATATATATATATATTTCTATAAACTATAAAACTTTTAGTATAAATTACTCGATGTCCGTGTTGTTTTTAGTACAATTTCAGCATTCGATAGCAGTTCAAATCCACATTTTAGGTAAACGAATGAGTGAAATAGTGAAAATCTTATACTAACAGATGGAGGCTACGATGCATGCCAGACCGGAGGGGTACGAGCCTACAAATCATAAAATATCAGAATAAACATAGCAAGTATTACGGTTGCGGAGCAGCTGCTGTTCAACTGTTGTTCCAATAGTAAAAAAAAATACAATACTAATAAAAAAAATATACAATTTAATATATATCCACAGATATCTGATATACTATACTAGATAGCCGCTTTGCCATTATCAAGTGAAATGATACCAAGTGGTATTATTTGTAAACAAACCTTATCATTATAAATATTAAATAGGTACAAAAATTCAAATTAAATTATAATTATAAGTCGTTTTGATTTTAAATCTCAATGCATATTGCATTTAATATTTATGCTACAGCCTATAATTCATACTAATATTTAGTAAACAGTACCTTACTACCGCAGCTTTCTTTTTAATAGTTAAAATACTTGTGATTATTTTCATACGATCAACCGAGTTCCTTGAAGTAAAACTTTACTATTTATTTTTTTAATAATGTTTGATTAAAAAATATACGTATAATTTACGCTGTTTGTATAATATACCAGTGGTCATTTTTTTGTATTGTTCCTACCATGATTCCTGTTCTTACATTTTTTTTGTATTCAATATTTTTAAATCATAACTAAAATTAAGTAAAACGAAACCTAACACCATACATATATTATATATAATTACACAATAGTATTAATGATGAATAAAGTAAAGACAATTTACGTGCAATACAAATGATTAAAATTAACCTTTCATGATTTATAAAGATTTTGAAATTATATGAAAATTATACACGAACAAGGCATTTCATGTAATGAATAATCATCAGAATTTACACAAACAAACGTACAGTCGTACAATCATATACCAAAATCAAGATAACTTCTCCACATAGTGTTATGCTATTCGTAAAGCCTAGATAGTAGATATTAGAATTTACGAGGGTGGTCAACTGAGTAGATAGCTGCCATTTTTCGTCCAAACTATTCCCGCCTTTTTTTTACAATATAACTTTAATTTTCCATTAAACATGCGTGTTGTAAATTATTTACATAATTACATAATATACTATTAAAAATATAAAAACAAATCAAAAATATTATTAGCTTTAGAACAATACATTTATATTAAATTACAACAAGCCGACATTCAATAATACAGTTTCAAAAAATGAATAAATAAATAATATTGTTCTATATTTTACTATGTGATATACTATACGTCATTACGTCTATACTCAATATGAATTAACTAGAATAGGTATTATTATTTTTAAGGAAAATGGCGCCCATGATCAGTGATAACAGCCAACCAGTAGAAATCGTTCTGTTTGACTACTCTCTTATGATCTACTGATCTAGGCCATAGACCTATAAACTAATAGATTACGCGTAGAAAGAGAAATCGTCAGCCAGCATCACGATTTAAGATATTATGGAATATGGTTGCCCAACGACAAGGTTTATAAATTAATGAGATTATACTAGTATAATCTATAAACATTGGCCCAAAGACTCATTAGAAAAATGTTATCATTCGGCATACGATTTGAATTAAAAAGTCACGTGATCAACAACAATTTTTAAAATAGTCCGCAAAAAGCCCTAATACCCTAATATTGTTCTATGCTAATACCGAGATCAAGATTTAAATCGTGTGCCGTCTTATCATAGCTCGTTGGGCAACGTGTTCTATGATTCTTAAGATTCATTTGCCTGCGGGCGCCCATGCCCCCTTCCCTTTTTTATATATATTTATTTTTTCTTTATTTGGAATAAACAATCTGTACCTATGAGGCACAATGAGTACATGCGATGAGAAATACAACACATACAATTAACTTTAGTACAAAATACTAACCTAAACATATATTTACATGAATACACGGGTTGTGAGAAGCCATCCACTAATGACACTCACTATGGGTATTTATTATTATTATTATTTTTTTTATTGTTTAAATTTGGATGGGGGGATGAGAAGGTCACGACACCAATTGCGTTTTAGACACCTAGGAGTATCGGTAAACTTATTGGACAAAAAGAGAAGGTGGAGTCAGGAGGTATATTGGGCTTGGGGACCAGAATAATGATTGAAAATTTCCAAATCAATGGAAAGTAGGATAGTCTAAGCCTCTAAGGACAGCGTTGAAAATATGTGTGAGGTGAACAATTGCTTTTTTGGGAAGGCATCTGGTAACATCAGCTGTGATAAGATCGAACCCAGGAGATTTGTTAGGGGAGTATTTGTCAATAGTATATTTCACTTCATTTTGGGGTGAAATGTTTGACAGGGGAACACACTGAGAGTGGAACATTAAGAAATTCTTCGACAGTGTTTATATTTTGAGGAAAAATATTATATTTCCCAAGCCCAATAAACCTCCTGAATCCACTTCCTCTTTTCGTCCAATAAGTTTACTGCCTTTCTTTGCTAAAATTCTAGAAATACTTTTATTAAAGCGTATTCTACCAAGCGTTACGTCAAATTCCATTCTTCCTGACTCCCAGTTTGGTTTCCGCAATGCTCACTCAACAATTCATCAAGCCCACAGACTGGTAGACTCAATCTCATTTGCACTAGAAAAAAAATTATACTGTACATGTGACTTTCTAGATATATCTCAGGCTTTTGACAGGGTTTGGCATGACGGGCTCTTAAGCAAACTGAAATAATTTTTACATCCGGTCTTCTTTCTAAACATCAAGTCTTATCTCTCTGACAGATACTTCAGCACTCGTATCGGTGACACTCTCTCATACATGGCCAAAATCTCAGCGGGGGTCCCCCAAGGGGGCATTCTTTCCCTTTGCTCTACAATATATATGCCTCATCCTATCACACCCCACACTCAAGTCGCTGACTATGCTGATGATAAAGTAATTATTTCCACAAGTCCTGATCACATCACAGCTTCTAGCTACCTACAAAATCATCTATCTCTCATAGAAGACTGGTACACTAAATGGAGGTTAAAAATAAATCAAACAAAATCTGTGCATACTACGTTCACTCTTAGACTCTTACCTTGGCCTGCTGTCTCCATCTTTGGCTCCCAAATTCCCAATTATCAAACGGTTAAATACCTCGGTCTAATCTTAGATCCTAGGTTAACTTGGGCTTATCACATAAAATCTAAGGGTCTAAATCTTAATGCTCGTTTTCGTTCGCTCAAAATATTCATCAATAATAACACACACACTAACCTAAATACAAAACTACTCATCTATAAATCCCTAATTAAGCCTGTATGGACATATGGCATCCAGCTATGGGGTAATGCTAAAAAATCTAACCTTAACAAAACCCAAACCTTCCAAAACTTAGCCCACAGGAAACTACTCAATGCACCACCTTAGGTATCGAACAGAACTATCCACTCTAACTAAAAAATGAAAACTGTCCAGGAAGAAGCCAAAGCACATTATAAGCGTTTTCATAACTGTCTGTCCACCAACAGTAATCCACTAATCCGCGATCTCGAAGTCCCGACCATTCCTGGCGATCCTCTTAGGCGTCTAAAACGCAATTGGTGTCGTGACCTTCTCATACCCCCATCCAAATTTAAACAATAAAAAAATTTTAAAAAAATAATAGCATTAAAAAAATAATAATAATAATAAATACCCATAGTGAGTGTCATTAGTGGATGGCTTCTCACAACCCGTGTATTCATGTAAATATATGTTTAGGTAAGTATTTTGTACTAATGTTAATTGTATATGTTGTATCTCTCATCGCATGTACTCATTGTGCCTCATAGGTAGGTATATACAATTTTAGATTTTTATTATTTTTTTTTAAAATTAATGTCGATTAAAAAATTCGTTGGATCAAAAGTCTTGAAAATGTTATTCCACGTTCCTCATACCGCATAGGAGATTAAAAATAATTATAATATTTGTCTCCTGGCTTGAATAAGAAAACCTAACAACGTATACTATACCTGTACACAATGTGTAAATATGCAATTTAGTTTACTTGAGTGTTATTATATTCAGTTCTGACTTTATAAGCATTTGCATTGCGAATATTTTGACTTAAGAGTTTAATTGTTTAATCATAGGAGTCTTACGTGTTAGTGTTGTCGGGATGTTAGCATTTTTAAACATTAGACATCTGATTGAATCGTTTCATGACGCACGGAAGAACATGCCAAAGAAATTGGTAAAATATTTTAATAATAATAATATAGGGTCGAACGATGCATCTATTCGATGTAGGTCGGTACCATAAAATAATGTGATTATTATTTATTCTTATGCTTTAGGAAAGCGTGAGTGAGAAATGTATCAACGCAAGTGTTCAAGTCAATTTAGACCCGGCAGCTGTATCCGGTAGTATTGACATTGAACAGTTTCAAAAAGTGATAGAAATAAATCTGCAATTAGAAAATAGATTGACCGAGTTGGAAGGTAGTTGTTTCATAATAATATGACGGATACCTATCTAATATTAATATTTTCGAATATTAAACAAATATGTATCTAAAATAATCATTATTATGTAGAAATGATTCGACGCGGTGATGAAAAACAAAAGATTCAAGATCTACAAGTAATTTACATATTACCTATCTATAATATTAATCAAAATATATTTTTAGTATTTTTTACTTCGGAATGGATGGAAATACCCATATTATAATTATTATTATCTCCTATTTGCTATTTCGAAATTTAATGATCTTTAGAAATCTCATATTATGAGTATGCCCTACATGACTTCATACGTGGTATACTAAATATTAGAACGATAATTTTATAACGATTTGAAGTGTATTTCATGAAGTATCCATAGTATCTCAATAAATACAAATCATCGATTTACGAGAGCACATTATGGAAAGTGCCAAGGATTGAGTGTAAGAATTTTATATTGACACGATATGTCGTAGACGAAGTTTCAGAAAATAATAAGCATCTCTCACAAATAAACAATCAGTAATGTAGTTCCTAAGAATTTAAAAATTGAAAGTACAAAGCAGTGGTCGGTAAAATTACTAGGACAAAAATATGTAACGAAAATTGTTTTGAGACCAGTTACATAATATGGCACCAAGTCCCAAGTTATAATCTCGATAGGTTGTTTTAAAGATTTATGATTGAAAATAACTGAAACAATAATGATGAGTCATTAAACGCCATAAACATTAACACAGATGAACATTCAAATAATGAATTCTAATAGATTTGTATATTACTCCACGTCGTTGACGACACCGAGTAATCGGACCCAGGTTCGGACTGTAGGCATTGACGGACTTTAATAGCAGCATGCCAGGCGAGCAGCCATTAGGTGCTCGACTTGCGGAACACAGAAGTCACTGGAACTCTGCCATCTGCGAGCTAAGTCCGTCGTACCGGTAACAGCCATCTACTTCGTACGAACTTAATTCCAAAGAATTTTTACGAATGTACAATCTATTAGAGAATTTAAAAATTGAATGTACAAAGTGGAAGTCAGAAAAAAACCTATATAAATTCTAACGGCACATTTTTTGAGACCAAAATTTGTGCCAGTTATAAATTAAAGTTTAAACGGCGTAAGCTGATTATAAAAGACTGATATAGTGGCTTGGTGAGGTGCGGTCGTTCGCTCAATCTGCTGCAACACTCCGAGCGTACGTCATAGGTGCAACTATTGACAAAACACTGGGGGTGCTAAAATTATGCAGAGGACGTAGATCCGTGGGGTTAACCCCCATACCCCCAAACGCCTACCCTACCAAACCTATTTCATAAAAACTAAAAAAAATAAGTAACGATACATTATTGTTTGAAATTGTTCAGTAAATATAAATCATAAATGCAAAATTGGCTTACTTTGGTATAAACATTGTTTAGTTATTTTGTTGTAAATTGTAATTTAAAAATATTATTCGTGGGTACTTGAAACTTAAAATTGGCATATTTTTTATTTTATACACCTAATGACATTTTCGAATTAATTTTTTTAGACAAAAATGAATTTAACCTACTTTAGTACTATTATAGTATAATGCCTATTATTATACAGTAAAAGTACTTCAATCACAATATTACAAAATATACCTACTTAGTGTTATTATAGGCGGTCAGAGACCGTGTTATTTCAGAATCGTATTTCGTATACAATGTATTTATATCATTGAATTCAAATTTAACACCCCATTACAGCGACTCCCTAGACACCTACAGCCCATAATGTACCTACTACAGCAGAGCGTAGTTAAACATTTAAAAACAAATCGCTGACCTCTATTTCAAATACAATTTTCATTTATTTAATTTTTTACTTACCTAACTAATTCTTATTTTTATAAATTGAATAAATAAGAAATTACTTTTGATAAAATCCAAGTTATATCAATTTATAAATAATTAAATATAAATATAATGTAGCAATGATTATTAATAATGCAAATCTCATAAACATTACATTTTATACATTTTACTAAAATTATAGGAATTAAAAATTTAATTGAATTCTTGTTCCGTTAATCAGAATAATTGTCCTATAAAAATAACGGAATTAAATACATACATATATATATATATATATACCATAACACGGCGTACGGGCATACTTTAATAATAATATTTTTAATAATGCATAATATAGCATGTTTATAAAAATAAATACTAACATGATATATAGGTAGGTAAAAATGTACGATTCTTAAGAACATAATATTATAAAATATTTTCTTCATATTGGTATAAAATGACATAAATAAGTTGTAACTATTTTAAGTTTTTAAATTAAAAGTTGAACAGAATTGGGTTGTCCAATGTTTATGTTTATAAACAGCCAATATTGTCAATAATATTTATTATTTTTATTATTTTAAGACATGTTAAGGTTGCAGGCCTTCTTCCTATGTATATTTTTTTATATAACTTACCTGATTTCAAAAAAAAAGGATAACTATAATTAACTTAAAATTTCTTAAAATGTTTTCTATCAATTTATGAAGATGTTATACACATTAGTATACCCTCATGTGTGGTTACATGTGTAACAAAGTCTTGTTTATTTTTTAAGTCTTACAAGTGCATAACATATACCCAGCAAATGTTACATTCAGCAGTAAAGTAACTGTAAGTTACTAGTAAAGCTTCGCTAGCTTAAACATTAGAATGAATTGACCTCTTATACAATTTGAATCTTAGATTATTATCTAGGACATCACATAGGCTTTTTATTATATTTTAATTTTAAACCAGGATATGAGTATTTTAAGATATACAAACAATATACAATTTTAAAATATTCATAACTTACATTAAAATTAAAATATAATAAGAAGTCCATGAGATTCCCTAGATCATAAAAAACTAAACTTAGTTTTTTTTTCACTTTAAATTCTAATATCCCAGACCTAAACGTGATCTGCTAAGCGTACAACTGCAGTCTATGTTACGCACTTGGAAGATGAAGACAATACACGTGGGTACCTATACGGCTATACGTCCTCTAAACTCAATTAAAAATGATCATGGACTTGACCAGGGCTAAATTAATTTATAACCTAAGTAAAGAATTATTTTATTTCGCATTCTGCAGTTGCGTCAACTTGAAGATCTTATGTTATCGAAGTTGACACAATCTGCACACACTCAGACCGAGAGTGAATTGTCCCTATCCGCCGTGCAAGATTTAAACAACAAGGTCGACACCAAATTGTCAAATTACCAACAATCGTTGATGGAAAAAATTGACGACGAATTCAAGACCATCGGTTGTGACGTTAAAAGTATCAAACACTGTTATGGAATGTTGAATACCAGTTTCCACGAGATGGAAAACAAATTGATTTCATTAGAAAGTAATTAGTAATTTTTATCTAAAACACGTATGTCATTATCATATATTATATATTATATATTATGATGTTTGTTTGTATAAAGATAATTCAGAGAAGCCGATGCGCAAATATAATGATATTAAGACTAGGATTGCAGCCCTAGAAAGTATGATATACATTGTCTATGTCATTTTGATGTATACTCATGAATCAATTTTATAGTTCTTACTTAACAATTTTTTTTTTATGTGTACGATATGTATGTGTGCAGGAGATGTAATGAAAAATTCATCACACATTATCGGTTTGAACTTTTCACTGCGTTCGTTGGAGTGGACTAGACCACAATCCTTCGGGTCCCCTGGAATGTTTCCTCCCGATAACCGCTGTTACAACGAACAAGCTTCATTCGCTGCAGCTCCATCATATTATGATATGCCACCAACGGCAAAACCCGGGCCGAGTGGAGCAGTTTTGCCTCCATCGCCACCTGCACCCCCGTCGACTAGTGTATTTTGTCAACCACTGCCACCCGCACCCCCGGCGCCGTTGTCTCAGAATATTCCAAAAAAATCGGATTCAGACAAATCCAGCTCTTCTTCAACAGCGAAAGGTGAACAAGTGTATGGGAGGATCCCAATAACCACTGAGATCCTAAAGTCTGTTGTTCTCAAGCCACCTGGTGAGAGGAAGAGAGTGAGCAAACCCTTTTCAGCGAAAGTTGAGGAAGTGTCTGGGAGGACCCCAATAACCGCGGAGATGTTAAAGTCTGTTGTTCTCAAGCCACCTGGCGAGAAAAAGAGAGTAAGCAAATCCGTGACGATATAATCGCTGCGGTATTGTTGAAAATGTCCGGCGTTGGGAAAGTAGCGTCCCCATCGCCCAGTACCCTTCATTGGGCGCTGCAATAGCCCCACTCTGGTCTTAAGTGATTGGAGTGGTCTGGCCCTCCAGGTTGGGGGTTGGGCGCTGGGTTAACAACCCAGCCTCGTAAAAAAACTTATGTTCAGGAACCAAACAAAAAGCCTCGGAATAGTGGAGATAAGGAAAACAAAAATGGAAACTGGAAATCGGAAATATCTTTGGGTACATGGAACGTTCGCACAGCACTGGAGCGGCACATACAGTGACGCAAGAAATAGGGAGATATAAACTTAAAATCGTGGCTATCCAAGAAATTAGATGGCAAGGAACGGGATCCTTGGACATTAATAATCATACCATTTTCTAAGGAGATTGCGATGATCGACGACAATTTGGTACGGGTTTCATAGTTCATAAGTCAATGGTACCAAACGTAATGGAATTTAAGACATTTAACCCGAGAATATCACTATTAACAATTAAAGCATACTGGTTTAATCTCACAATTATTAGTGTTCATGCCCCTACTGAGGAAAAGACTCAAGAAGAAAAAGACGACTTCTATGATGAATTAACGAACGTAGTATATGGAATACCTAATAACAGAATAGTGGTTATATTAGGAGACCTTAATGCAAAAGTAGGAAAAGAATTAATATTTAAACCAACCATTGGCCACCATAGCTTGCATGAAGTAACTAACAATAATGGCCTCAGCCTAATCGACTTTGCAACGAGCAAAGGCTTAGTGATCAAGAGCACAATGTTTCCCCATAAAAAGGTCAATAAGGGAACATGGAAGTCACCAGATGGGAATCACACAAATCAAATTGACCATGTACTAGTCAATAACAGGTTCAAAAACAGTATTACGGATGTCAAAACGATGCGAGGAGCGGACTGTGACTCTGACCACTATTTGGTTAAGGTAAAAATTAAAGCAAGAGTGAAGAGAAGGGTGGCAACAAGGCCAACCGTAATAGACAGATATGATATAACTAAGTTCACAGATGAAATTTTCTGTAAACGTTTTAAAAGTGAGATACACAAACGCAGCAGTGAATTAAATATAGATAGTATAGACTCAATAAATAATATGTGGAGGAGGGTACAGGAGACAATAAAAGAAACATCAGCTGAAGTCCTGGGAAAACTAAAAAACCGTGGTTCAATGAGAGATATGAGAAAGCCCTAAATCAAAGGAAAAAATGTAGAAACTTGTACCTTAATGACCCTTCCCATGAAGAAAACAAAACAAAGTATAATGAAAGCAGAAAAGAAGCAAGTCGAACCTTTAAGTATGAAAAAAGAGTCTATACGAAAAACATTTTGGAAGAAGCAGAAAAATATCACAATGAACATAATACACGCCAATTATACAAAAAAATTAATACACTAAAGGGAGGTTACAAAAAATATGAAATGTTCCTAGTAAAAGAAGATAAAACATTAATTACTGCACGATCAGATATTGTAGAGAGATGGAAAACGTATTTCGAACATCTTCTTAACTGCAACGATCCCATAGAAACCTTTACTTGGACAAGGACAGAACCCAACCTAAATGAATGTACAATACCGTCAAAACAAGAAATTGAATTACAAATAAGGCGATTGAAGAACTATAAATCACCTGGTGAGGACGGTATACAAGGTGAAATTATGAAAATGCTAGACGAAAATTCATTAACACATATACATAGGTTACTAACCCACATTTGTTAGCAGGAAGTACTACCAGAAGGTTGGAATGTAGCTGTCGTATGTCCAATCCATAAAAAAGGTGACCCACAAATATGTAATAATTACAGAGGAATTGCCTTATTGAATGTAGTCTACAAGATATTGTCCTATTGCATTTTAGATAGGATTAAACCCATTGCGGAAAAGATACTGGGAGATTATCAAGGTGGTTTTAGACCCAACAGATCAATAACAGATCAAATCTTCAGCTTAAGACAGATCATAGAAAAATCATGGGAATTCAATAAAAGCATATGTATACTATTTGTAGATTTCAAAAAAGCATACGATTCTGTCCACCGACATAATCTCATAAACATATTAAAAGAGTTTAAGCTCCCAAACAAACTAATAAAATTAATAGAGGCCACTCTGCAAAATACAGAGATCAAAATAAAGGTGGCATCAGAATTGTCAGAGCCAGCAACGGTTAGGACAGGTCTAAGACAAGGAGATGCGCTATCACCAATATTGTTCAACCTAATATTAGAAAAGGTAATCAGAGCAACAAATTGTAACAATGGAATAGTATTTTGAAACTCGAACATAAATATCTTGGCTTATGCGGATGATATAGCGATATTAGGAGATACTGAAGAAACGGTTAAACAAGTATGCAGGAAACTCATCATGATGGCTAGTAAGGTCGGACTGGAGATAAACGACGAAAAAACAGAGTACATGATTGTAAGTCGACAGGACAGAGAATATCAACAAGGACAATCTATGAATGTAGAAGGGCATGTATTCAAAAGAGTCACACATTTCAAATACTTGGGGCACTTGATAACACAAGATAATAACGATCTGAAGATGGAAGTCAGTGCTAGGATACAAAAAGGCAACAAAAGTTTTTTTGGTCTTGGAAAAGTACTGAGTTCAAAAACATTATCGACAAACATGAAGATACAAATGTACATGACCCTGATACGACCCATAGTACTGTATGCCGCGGAAACATGGCCACTTAGGAAAGCAGAAGAAACCAGACTAAAAGTATTTGAAAGGAGAATCTTTCGGAAAATCTACGGCACATGCTTTGACACAAACACAAGTGAATGGCGTAAACGTCATAATAAAGAACTCGAAGAGCTGTTCCAGAGACCGAACATCGCGAATGAAATCAAGAAAAGAAGACTAACCTGGGCAGGACATGCATGGCGAAGAGTAGGATCCATAGTCAGAACAATAATCGAAGAGAACCCGGTCGGTAAGAGACCCTTAGGAAGACCACGCTTACGCTGGGAAGACTGTGTAAAAAGGGACGTGGAAAACATTGAACCAGAGATACCATGGAGAGTAGTGGCAGAAAATAGAGATAGATGGAGAGAAATTTGTTTGGCAGTATGGTCTCAATGACCGAAAACCAAAAAAAAAAAAAAAAAATTGTTGAAAATTATGTGCCTAATGCATACAAAAAATATGTATGTAATTATTGTTAAAAAAAATTATATAATTCATAGTAGTTGTCAATCATGGTATCATTGTTAACAACATAAAAAACGGGTAATTGTGTGTCACTCTACTATACAGAAGGTTACAATTTACAAATACACCCATGGGTCACTGCAATGGATGGTGTTAAATTTAAATCCGATGATATAATATTATAACATACGAAAAAATAATTCTGAGCGGAAACAGTTTGTCCGAATAGGATACTTTTTATTATTTTTATATTTTTATTATTAATACAATAGTCGATAAGTTGAATAATTATTAAATGTAAATCATCATATTTGAATATAAGAATATATTTTAGTAGTTTTAAGTACCTACCCACGAATAATATTCGAGGCTTGTAGTGCTGATATTGCTTCATGCAGGCAGTTTATAGTTCTATTCGGAGTGATACACCTGCAGAAAATATTGAAGTCGTTAGAAATAGTGTGCACTTAACAAGAGATTATATAACTTGTGAAATATCATTAATCGCTAAAAGAAATAACGAGGCCGACAGTGTAAATCATTGAGTTATACTGTTAGTTCGAACATATATTTTTGATAGTTTGTCGCTGCACTTCACTTGAAAGGTTTTGTCAGTAAGAAAGTTCTTTATAAAGTTAAAAAAATTAACAATACAGATGATGTTTATCGATGTTTATGATTGACAATATTTTTAGAATACTAGGACGCTATGTGTTGCCCTACAGCACATGTTTTGCTTCCAGAGTTGAACGTATTTCCTCTTGGGTGTCATGTAGTGTATTATAAGTACTTCTGTGTCTTCGAAAACCGTTCTGTCGTTTGTCCAAAATGTTGTGTTTTTCAAGGAATCATCTGAGTCTGGAATCTATAGTTTCTTCCGATATCTTTGCTATGGTATTCAGGAGCGATATAGCCGATATAGGTCTAATAAATTTGGGCATTGGAATAATTATGGAGTGTTTCCAATTTGAGTCCGGATGACCATATTTTGTTGAATAGTTTAATAATTAAATTTAAGGATAACATATGGAGATTGTGAATAAATTTGTACGGTATTCCATCTGGTCCTGAGACGACACATTGTTTTTATTAAGTGGATACAAATGTTATTTGCCTAAACCCATGGACACTTAAATATTCGATAATTTTATTTGTATTGGGATCTGTGACTAATAATTAATTTCCCTAAGGTATGTCAAGATTAAAAATATAAAGGTATATTATTTAGCTAATAATATTATGTGTTCTATTTTTTTAGAAACAAGTTTCAGGTAAAACATTTTTAATGTGCTCAAATGAATTGCACTGATTGTAAATCGTACAGTAAATCGATTTATTTTCGTTATCTCTTGATTATTATAATAATAAATTCAATTGCAATAAATTGTTTATTTGAAATTCAATAGGTACTTGTGTAACTGTGTAAGAACCAAAAATATCAATCTACAAAATCAATGAATAAATAATTTTTTGTACAACTCGGCGTCTGGGCCCCATGTTTGCCTTATTTAATGTCTGGGTAGGTTTTTTCTTTAAGACAATTTCATTAATACTACTATGTATTTTACACATACAACATACCTACAATCGAAGAATTAATACAAACCATTAGGGTTAATATAAAAATAATATAGTCTGAATAAATATCTAATACAATCGCTTAAAGTTTCAACTTTTGAGACTAGGTGGCTACTAAAAAATTGGTGTAAATGGCAATCACTCAAAAATATTTAAAATGCATATAAAAAAAACATTTAGTAATAATGCGATCTCATAATATTCATACTTATGGCTCGTACTGCAGTAAACGAGTTTAAAATATTAAAAACTAATACTAAATCTATAATTAAATAAGTTTTTTTTAAATGAATAGAATTATGTCTACATCCATTTTGTAAATCGAAGGGGTAATTTTGAAAAAAATGATATTTAACGGGTGTAACTCATGGATCACTCGTAAAAAAATATAAAAAGGTTTGAATTACCCAAAGATAGGTCATTTTGGACATACTGTACATCTGGTTTCATGTTTGGCCCAAAACTCCTTTGTCAAATTATTTTAAGTTATATCTAAGGTTGAGAACTTTTAGTAGGTATACTAATTTTATTATAATAAATCGAAATTTGAAATCCGTAAACCACAACGGTTTTGTCAGTTACTATATCGTGTTATCACATAACAATGTAAACATTGCCGTTTAGGCAAATGGCGGACTGACTTCAAAATTCTGAACAGTGCTGGGGGATAGTCGGCTATCTAGTGGTTTATATATGTCTATGTGTAAAAGTTAGCAGTATTAGTGTGACCACAAAACATAATTGTACATTTTCGTGATGTATATGGGTACACCTGTTTTCCAACAAATTAACAGATTTTTGAGTTTTCACAATAGAGTATATCCTTAATATAATGTCTATGGTTCTCACCAAGTGTCTCTTCTGGTTATTCTGTGACCTTCTTAAATCGTGGACCAGCATTGAGCAAAGAAGGTAGAGCTCCAAATTGGGGAAAACAGTGTTTCCTTTATAATAAAACTGAACTATGGGAAATTGAATATATAATACACTAAGTTCCTGTTACAACGAATACAACGATAAATCCCATTATAACGAAAGTCATAGAAGGCCAATACCGAAAAGCTATTAAAACAATGTTAAATGAATCTCAATGTAATGAAATGATTGATTTTTAAAAATCCCGATACAACGAACTATTTTTACAGGTTAAAATATTTGCATTATATATAATATTATAATTTTTAATGATTGATTAATAGATTTCTACAGAGAGATTTTGTACTCCTTCAAAACTTCCTAATAATTGGAATAAGTTTTTTAATATATCTCTGGTGCTAAAGTCAGTCCAAATGAAAATTTACAAAAACAATATCTTTCTAACGGAGCGTTAAAAGTTGATAAAATCCTTTTTGGCATCTAATCTAGTAATCTACTAAAAATAGTTACATCTGATATTGGATGCTTTGGGTCCTTCTTCCTTCATATATTTTGTTCGAACGCAGACCG